CGCAACCTTCAGATACGAGAGACATTGCACAAAATCAAGATTCAACACTCGAGCGTGACGATGTACCTCCTAATTTTACGCGGAGCGATTCGGATGCTGGCGATAGAGATCGCGAGATGCTACAAGATGATGTGACAACAGGTCCAACGGAAGGGCGGCCTACCATTGGATCTCGGGATGATAAAGCTCTGGAAGGTGAGTTATGTATAAAACGTTGTTCACCCCATCCACTCCGTTGTCTTCAAAGTTTATTGGCTGACATTCCTAACTTTCTCACGATGCAGAGATACCTCTACCCAGCCTTGAACACAGGCGCCTTTCCTACCCACGACCCCATCCAACCGTATTAACGTCAAACCAAAATTCAGCTACCTCAAAGGGTAAAGGAAGGGCGCGAGTGGAAGATGATCCAGATGATCCAGACTGGGATCCATCTTTTCATGCTCAAGAGTCCGATTTAGAAGATTTGAATCTGCTGGCGGGGGAGTTGGATAGTGATATCGATGATCCAGCTCATTCTCCATACCAAGGTTCTTCTAAGGGTCGATTCCAAGCGCAGGAAGAAACCAGTAAATCAAATTCATCACGAAAAGGCGCAAAAAAACACTCACGCACGGCTGCCAGTCCAAAAACAATGTCTCAGTCCAAACAACGAAACCAAGGAGACGGTCAGAGTCGGGAAAGTATGCTCAAGATGATTTGTAAGTTGCTTCTCGAATCATTGCATATGTCAGTGTAGTTTTGTCATATTCACTCACCTTCAAATCATTCAATGACTAGATGAACTACGAGATGCTCTGAACAAAAGTAACCAGCGACTCGACAAGTTAACTGAAGAAGTCAAGATATTGAACCAAGTGACTCAGAAAAACATAGATGAGGAACAAGTCTTAGCAGGAAATAAGAAAACACGGGGTGGTCGGATTGCTGTAAGGATTTTTGTATCTCACACTTATCATGATTCAATATATACGCTGTGATATTTAGACCTGGTACGCAGTTGTCCGTTCGTTTCCATATAGATACTCTTTTAGGTCTAGAAGAAAACAGTCCCTCACTCCCCGCGCCTGCCACACTTGCTGAAAAAGAGTCCTGGATGTCTGATTTGGATATCGGCATTGTGAATTTTGATTTGGATACTTTGGACGAAACTATGGAACCGCCCAACCTCAATTCAACCGATTATTCCGGGCCACGGCATAAAGATTCAACACCTCAGCAGATCTCTATCATGCAACAGATGATGCTGGCTGTAGGGGTATCAAGCTTTCGACCAGATTTCAGTGAAGCTGCAACATCAAAAGACAACAAGTGGCTGTGGGATTTAGGGTTCAAAATTTTTATCAAACTGGTGGAGTGTGGTGAATATGTTGGAATATCTCTTGATGCTCCAAACCTTTCTTCAATCAAGAAGGCTTTTGAAACTCGAGTTCAATCTCTGATGAAACGGTAAGTGGTATAAAATATACCTTTGGAAGTTCAGATTGTAACTGATTCATTTGCTCATTTTATTGAGCGCTTGAATCACTTTCAGATTTCGTGAACAGAGCTGGGACGAAGCACGAAAAAAGAAAGCTGCTGATGCAGTTAGGCGGAATGCACGAGTACGATATGTGAGTTTCATTCAAAGTGTTCAAAGCTGTGACTGCGTCAGATCTGAACTTTGTATAACTGAATGAGAAAATACTCGCTCTCCACCATAAATCAGCTGAAAAAGTCGCGGGAGAAGATTGTGCTCTCAAATCAAGCATTATGGCCACTCTTGGTTATGGTCCAAAAGTGCTGTAGCGATGATGAGACGGATCACGAGGACTGTCAGGATGAAATAGCTCAACATGTTTCTTCTCCTGTTCATATCCGAAAACTCAGGTGGCGTAGTGCAGAATTACAAAATGTCTTCACACGCTTGGACTCGTACAAAGCAAGAATTGATGCTAGCACACCGAACAGGAGATGCTCACAAGGCAGTACATCAACTCCTACTGGCCGACCAGCTCGACTCAGAATACGATGTGACAATGCACGCATAAGTGATGCTAATGCACCTATAGGTTTTCCTCTCGATTGCTACTCACAAGAGTGGCTACAGACCCTTTCGCGTCTGGAACGCAGTCAGTTGGAAATGAAGCCCCAAAGGGTGCTATCGAAGCTGATTCCAATTGTAAATGGTCTCTAATTTCTTGTTTAAGTTGTAATTTCGCTCTAGAACTTCAAAGATTGTGGGCATAAGAAGCAGGCTTCAAGATACAAATTTGTAATTATTCATAAATTTGTAATTTTTCATGTGCTATTGCTATTAGCGTTCCATAGAAACCAAAGCTATTGTAGCAAGTTTGAGGTCTTTATGAAGCTCTCCCGGTTGATACATCAACCACGAACAGTGTGCAATCACTTCATCCAACCGAATGACTTCTTCAGAATTTGTTGAACACATCCGTAAATGTGTTTGCACATCAGGCTCCTTGATATGTGTGAATGGATTGTATAACTTCCTTTTTTAGAGACGGAAAGATTTGGACACGAAGCCACGTTTCGATTACCTGTTTTTCTGGTTGTGGGCTTCGGCGGTGAGTGAAGATACTGGAAATTCGTCCAAATTGCATCATACCGTTGGAGTGTGACTTGAATCGAATTATGCTGTTATTCATATTAGCTGTTACGTCTTTGTGCATCACATGATTGTGAATCATAGCGCGTGCAGGACACACAGCAAACCCAACAGAGCCGTCTTTCGTGTATGAAACCCATAAGTCGGGAGCCACCCATTCACAGTCCTCGGACGCCCCTTTGTTCAAACGTTGAATGAGAAGTGTCAAAGACTTATTGTCTAATGATTGAAGCTTGGAGTTGGAAGCCTTCTTTTGAGAAGGCTTCTTGGGGTTGAAATAGGCTTGTACTCGTGAAATGAAAGGGTCAAGAGAGTCTGGTACTTTGTCCTCCTGTAAGAGTACAGAGAGATTCCCCGCGCGACAAAGGTGATCTCCAATTCCCCTACAGATGTATTTGAAGGTCGATATGAAATGAGCATTGATCATAACATTTTGATGAATGAGAAGAGAAAATAGACTAACCCTGGTGATTATTATGAGTACCCTTGATGATATTACCCATCAACCGTTCATATGGGAAGGACCACCATGAGCGTACTGGCCCAAAGTTTTCAAGACAGTCGGCTAAGTGGATTGCCATATGATGATTTGGAGCAGGTTGACAATGCTGAAACATCTCAATTGATCCTTCAAGGTACTGTTGAATGTGGTGGCGATATCTTGATATTATGTCCATATCAAGCTCCCTTTTTAAAGCTAAATTGACAAGGGATACCAAATGACAGAAGTTTTTTAAGAGCGACGTTTTGATGTGATCACGGCCAGACCAGAGAGGAATTAGAATGAGTGGTAACTGAATGGTGAACAGGTTTCGCCATTCATCAGCTTTCAGTTTACCAAAAGACGCTTTACCAAGGACAGGAATAGCCTGCTTGATCCATGATGGAATACGAATTCTAGGAAGCAGAAGGTTTATTTGGTGTAGCATTGTACTATCCAAGATGATCTCATCTGAGGGAGGTGGCATCCATTTGCCACTCCACTCAGCTTCAGCGAAGGGATTGAATTTGTAATCACTCGAAGCAGTGTCCTCATCAAAGGACCCATCCAATATGTTCTCTTGGTCCGAGTCTCTATCCTCCTCGACGGGCGCCTTTGGCGAGGGTCTTGGATGATATTCTGTTTGAGAGTGCTCGGCGAGTAGGCTCATTAGTTCCTTAGTGCTGATAGCCGGTGCTTCAGCCTCTTCGTTCATCTCGTCTTTCATCGACCAAAATCTTCGGCAGTGCCAATTAAGCAGGCCAAGCAATAAGTTATGCATTGAGTCGACCACGTGATACTTGGAAATATCCCAGTATTCAAGTTCTAAAAGCACCGAGTAACGAACACCATGACTTTTGAATATCTCGGAACGCTCTTCAGGAGTTGAGGCGTCACGTGCTTGATATGCCCACAGCCGGTGCTTTTCGCACGTACGTAAAGGCCACATTGCTTGATTGAAATTTTTGATATCCTTTTTATGAAGTAGACAAAACGAACAAAAATGAGTGGCAGTTGCACTAGGAAATCCAAGAGAACGTCGAACTGCCGGAATGTCTGCTATAAAAGGTAGTAGGGCGGCTCTTATATGTCGTCCTTTTTTATACAGCCGTGTTCGAGAAAGGAAAAGGCCTGGATTCCACAGCTCTTTCAGCTGTGTGACTATAGGCCTCAAGATCCAATTCATCTGTTTGAGAGATGGCTCACGCGGCCCTGGAGCAACACCGACGAGAAATATGTTTTCTCTACGAAAGCGGACCCGTGGCGGAAGAGTCAGGCAGACCAGGACTACAAAGGTGATGGACGAATGGCGACCACTTTGTTTGTTGCCAAAAGGGTTTATCCCATCAACAAACATTCCAAACGTCAGATTCCCAGTCTGAGACGTGAACTGCTTTCCATCAGGTCCCCGAAAAGCTTTCCAGAGTTTTGATTGATGAATGTCAGAGACCATTTCTTGCGGATCGAAAGGCTTTGAAGATTGTTCCAAACTCTCGTCAAGCCATTCTTCAACCAATGGCCGAGAAAGTAGACGAGCTATCCACTCCGAAAGATTTTGGAAGGCGTACTTCCTAACAGGCTTATCCCGGCCTCGTGCAAATTGAACTAAGAGTTCTCCACAAGTCTTTTCCATGTATTTGTCTTCTGGAATTGGCGGTGTTGATGTACCTTCGGCATCTTCAGATATGATGGGCGCTCCAGGAAGATCTGCCACACGATGGGTGCAGTGTTTAGGCGCCGACGCTAGTGGATACATTGCAAAGCATCCCTTGCAGCAGTTTACAAATTGTAGGCGCGGGTCAATCTCAAGCCATCCAATTACCGTGTCGACGGATTTAGGTATTTGATTCAAGACCTTTGCTTGAAGGGGTTCAAGTTGTCCTGGCGAGGCGTTTGGAAGAAGGCCATGTGTCAGAGCGAGCTCAATTGTGATGCGTTGGGCATCCAAGAGCCAAGAAGCAGTGAACATCGAGGCGTGTTCGAATATACTGATGATTGCAGTAGTCAAAGCCACATGAAGACAGACAGGATTGACTTGTCTCAAATTGAAAGCAAAAAAGTTTTCTGTGAACAAAATCACACCGTATTGAGTCAAAAGTTGTCTATAAGCTGAGCAATGTATCAAAAGCATCTCACCAGTATCGTAAACTTTGCTCCCAACCTCCCTTTCAGTGTCTATGGCGGGGCACGTGCGAGAGCTTTCGAGGATCACATCCTCGTCATGTTCTCTTGAAGACTGATTGGGTACTTGTGCCGGATTCACAGCTTCTCCAGATCGAGAAGGGCTTGATTGCGACGCTGGACTGACACGCAACTCGCGCAGAATCTCGACCAACTGATTGTCTTCTGACGATGACCCGAAATTGATGTCCTGGAAGGAATGTTCAAGAGCATCGACTGATGATGCAGCTTGAGCGATGTTACGTAATTCCGCTTGTTGATGAGCCTCATACGCCTCCGGGCTGAGTTCAACACCTAGTTGTGACGAGCCTTGTGCGTCTAAGTAAAAGCCAGATTTGCAATTGAAAGCTTTGCATGTGCATACTTTTCGAAGACACTCTCCAATCTTCTTGTTCCCTCGAGGCATTTGTAAAAAAAATCTGATGTGGGGAAGTTGAATCCGCTTATATGTGGGTACGAAAGTGGTGAAAGGACTTTAATATTCAGAGAAGTGATAGTGATGAAGTTTTTATTGTATCATATAATGGATATATTTGAATATGTCTCGTGAAAGCTGATATTAGGAAGCAGGAACACACATCCGACACAAGAGGACAAAACGGAGTGCAACCTATTGATCATTGACTCATGAGCAAAATCCAGAGATCGAAAACCACAACTCATACAAAACATGCCGTACTAACAATAGGCGCTAACACTACAGGACTGATAGAGATACATGATACATGAATGAGACAAAACAAGATCCAGAAACCTCCCAAGAAAAGATCTACTAGATCTAGGACCGGATATATGACACTATATGACACAACCAAAAGTGTAGCCTAGTGAGTCATGAATGATAAAAACTCAAAACATGATCGTTTGAAATACTCACGATCAATTCTATGATAGTTCAAGATCATTCTTCTTTGTCTATGACAGCATAGTGAAAGCCAAGGACAGGGGTACGCTCGGGGGGAAGATTGCCTTCGATAACAAATTTGACGTAGAGATCAATGAGACATGAGGGCCTCAAAGCGATCGAGTACACAAATATGTGTGGAGCATATACTTGCAGAGCATGTCGAAGCTCTTCTACTGTCTCGCCCTTCAAGCGGTCTTCTTTCAGGACACGAGGGCGCTGACTAAACTCGGGTTTTTGAGGCAAGCGGAGATCCTTGTCAACCTTTGCTTTGAAGAGCCAAAGAAGGTGATCAATTCTGGCGATGTCGGGTATCAAGAATTTTCCCACTTTCTTCGAAATAGCGCCAACCAACATCTGTCGAGTAGTCTTGCGGCTGAGAGGATCGAAGTCCACAGTTTCGGGTACATCCGTGTCCATTGGTTCCGGTTTCACAACAGGCGGTTTGATGTACGGAATGATCAAAGGCTTGACATTATCTTGAAACGCCTTTTTCAAGACGGTTTTGTTGTGGTTGGGGCGAGATTTTGTCTTGGGGTCAAAATGATACAAGATAAGATAATATAGGATATTCTTGATCTGGTCACACTTTTCATCAAAGTCGTGATCGAGGAAAACATGCAAGTCGTCGGGTAACGAGTCGACCTTTGCTGCTATATCATCTCTCACAAATCCCCCTGCTGCAGTTGAAGGAAAGACTTTCGGAAAAGAGGGCTCTTTCAGAGACTGCGTATTCGGTTGAGCAGAATGCGGAACTTTGTCTGATGAAGTTGGATGTGCGGAGAGTGTGAGTTACAAGAAAGTTTTAGCCGAGGAGAAAGAGTGAAACAGGGGTATTATGACAAATCTCATCCAAAAAAGATCAACACACAAACTCCGAGCTCACCTTTGGTATTAATCTCGAGTTGGTTGTTTGAGGGGCTTGTGGGGCCTGAGCTTGTGCCTCCAGTGCTCTTCTTCCGTGCCTTTCCCATGTTTGATCTGGATCGTGAAACAGAAATAAGATCATCGACGTACAAACAAAGCGGAACATGTGGGTGTCCAAAACCTCAAAGAGCGTGCAAGAACGAAACTTGAGAAGGTAAAAAGGGAAGATGCCTGACCTTCAAAAACCAGGATCCTTGCGTTAGGAGATGCGGACTTGATTGAAACTCCCTATCGATACAATTGAGGAACGGGGGCAATTGTGGTGATCTTATATGTTTCACTTGTTACATTTAGCTACATGTACACAAGCACTAGCTGTTGTCAAAACGTGACAACCTCTAGTGTCGGCATCACCGTAGAACAACGATTGCCTTTCAGTCTGGCAGACGATCAAGTCCCCTTTCTGGAACATGTTCTTTGGGGAAGATGATCTGTCGCCGGCTGACAGAATCCTGAATCACTTTGACTGCAAGATGGGAAATATGTGCTGCTACACACGCTTACTACCTACATAGATTCTTGATATCTTTGTAATGCAAGTAAAATTTTGTATATGTTGCGATAAAATTTTGCTTACAATGCTTCGTAACCATTATAAGAATAAAGCAGAATATAGTTCAGAATAGAGCAACGATGATGGCTTCACCTGGAATAACACATGTGTGCGTATAATCATTTGATGACACATGTGATCCAAGGCTTTTAGACTCAGAATCTTAAAAAGGTTCTTTCATAGCAACTCACAGGATGCAATAGCTGGATAGCGATTCTTTATAAGGCATTTTCTCTGGGCCAAGTATATAATCAAGCAACAGTTGCTCAAATGGACAAAACAAAAGGAAAAAATTAGGAGAGAACAATATTGGGCGCGCCATTACTTCTGAGAGAGCTCAAAGATTAATTATACATAGAGATTGGCTTCAAACAAAACATATAGTTGTAGTGCATGTTGTTCCCGTATCTTATGCTAATACACTTTGAAACTACAGCTACACACTTATCATTTTCTAATCTGAGACGGAACTGCCAGTACCAGAATCTTCCCCTTCTTCAACTGAAAGCAGGCCAGTAAGGACTTTGTTGTGCTCATTGATGTCATTACGAGCTGACTGCAATTCATTCTCTAGTCTTTCAACCTGCATCTCTAGAAAGTCTAAACGTGTCTGAGTAGTGACGATGATTTGTTTCATGTCTTCGAAAGATGCCACACGCTCTTCGAGGGTAGCAACTGTCGTATATCAAAAATATCATAAAGTTTGGTTAGTTTTCACTCGTATTGATTATGCTTGGGATACATTGGAATGGGTACGAGAATTACGTTGCTCTTCTTTACTTCTTTGGATTTGAAAGTAGTCTGTTCCCGAGAGTACTGGTAGCTCTGAATTTGGCTCGATAGAGGGTTTGAAAGGAATGGGATCAATGTTCCTTCCCAATACTGAAAGTGCAAAAGATCCAGCGTGAGTAGACATTACTTATGGGAGCAAACAAGAAGAGAGATTGGTAGACGTACTGGTATTTTCACTTTCAAATATATCTAACTCGGGAAATTCCATCAAGTCCATTTCATAGCGATGAGTACTTGAAGTGTCTGGCTTGCCCTCTTCTGACCCAAGAGAAATCAGTTGTTCTTCCAAACCCTCGTTATTATCTTCCACACGATTACTTGACGGGTTCAAAGCAGGAAGAACCAGAGGCTCCTGAAGCACACTTAACTCTCTGGTATGTTCGCACTGATCCTGTACCTCCAGTAGAGAGGTAGCTTTCACTCCAGGAGTTGATTTCGAAATGCCTTTACCTGTAGACTTTGGTATACTGTTACTGGTCGGGTGGTCTGGAATTTGCTGTTCCATTGACTGTAATTAGAACAAGGCTTCAGTACTCACATTGCAGTATGATTACACTTGTCGAAGTGATTAAAGATGATGATTGTACCCATGTCCAAGCTCATGGGAACTCACCTTTTTTTTCTTTTTCTTCATCATGGTAGAACCACTGTGATCATCAGAAGACACTCGCTTTGCTTTTCGAGCAGGCCCCATATCCGCAAGATTTGGTTTGACGTCATGTAGGAGGTAACATGTGGAGATCGGCGGATCGAAAGAAACACGCTTTGCTTTACGAGGAGGAGCGATTGTGGCGATTGATGTCAAGTCTTGTGAGTTCCGACCACTTGTGGAAGGTGAAGGCATAGGATCTGGAAACAATGAATCAAACTTTTTGTTCCGGGCTTTTTATCTTATTATCACAAGGGTGAGATGGATGCAAAGGGAAATGATCACGTACTATGAGACTCCATGCTGCCAAACACCTTTCGATCACCTGATTCCTGTTGTTGGTGCGGCAATTCATTCGAGTCCAGGGCTGGATCGTCGGTATCAGGATTTGGGAAGACTGGTCAAAATGAAATAAAATACAAGTTGAGATCTAATCGTAATCAGATGCTGTTTGTGAGAGACAGAAAAACAAACGATGCGGCTGCGCCTTTCGCACTTTGGTGGCAAGCTGTGCTCGAGTTATTTTGGAGTGAAGGGTCGTTGTCTTGTCACGTTCGTAAAGCCACTGAGCCATGTCGTGCTTGCTAACACCTGGGTCGCTGGGGTCCAAAACCGTAGACATATTCGCTAAAAGAGCAGTGCGTTGACACGGAGTGGCTTGAAGATGGGACTATATAGACAATACCATAAGGAGGATGATCAAGTGTGAGATTAATGATCAAGCCGAGCGGCATAAGGACGTTCCACTTCATGAGCGGGCCTCGCGGTTTCAATGCTGACTAGAATTCTACATAAGTAGATGAACAATATACTGTATAAATATACGCAACAAGTTGCTAATCTATCAGAGATTCACTTCCTTGTAATCAGCATATATTAACACGCAATACATATTCCAATCGGATGTTCGATATCGTGAGGCACGTTGCACAAGCCATGTTTTACTTCTCAATCACAGAGAGACAGAAAAGAAACATGTACATAAATTATTTATCTTGTAGAGCTTCTTGTGGGAAGCGTAGCCACAACGTTGATTACAGAACACTAGAGACAATGTCAATCATATATTAGATGATAGTGAGCGTTGAAAAAGAGGAGAACATAAGCAAAGGAAATGAACCAAAATTGATGCATGAAGTCATGTGATCAATATTCTAGAAAGAAATAATCAGGCTACAATTTGAATGCATGAGAAGACAAATCAACAAATGACAGCATTACACACAATCTGTATTATAAAAAGGTTATGATCATGAGGTAGGTGCTCTTGATGCCTAATGAATCCTTATTACTTCTGGACAGTAGAAAAACAGAATATGTAGATGATACAGTTTTCTATGTCAGTCACAATTTTCTAAACTGTACGGAAAAGACGCCCTTTGGTGTAGTGTATGTTAGGAAATTTTAAATTGAAAGTGAATGCTATACCAACTAAGTATACTCAAACAGATCTAGAAGATATTTTTGTACTAGTATTTGAAATTTAATCATACAAAGTTTCAGCATCATGATTAAAAAGATGACCAAATTGTAAACAAAAACAAAACAAACTCTTGAACCCCACTTCAAATTTTTGAATAGTAGAAGGATTAACTGCAGAATGTCAATTTTTTTCAGATAAAGCTTTAATTTGACTAATAGTAGTGATTTCTAAAGCCTTTGCCATTACTGGCTGTACAATGCAACAATGAATTATTGAAATGTGTTCCTCCTTAAGATGATGAAGGATCAATGTTGAGTGTTTGAATTGAAATAGGATAGTAATCTCTTCTGAATTCAGGAACACAGTCCCTTGATCATAAATCTGCACACAAGTTAGACAAACCAGGGATTTTGGTGACTTTTACCTCTGCTTGAGACACTACCAACCATTTAATTATGTGTTGAAATAAAGGCCCTACTAATTGATTAGGTCAATGAAAATTGAATGAATGGAATACCATTTTGTTATTAGTATGCACATAAATCCTTTTTGAACACACAATGATTCCTAGGTCAATGGCTGCAAGAACTGCTAAGAGTTTGGCCCAGAAACTATTACAAGTTGAGGAGTAAGTTTCAAACAAAATGCTAATCCTGTCCTAGGTTCCCACACCCCAATCCAAATTAACAAGCATCACAAAAGTAAGGAATCAGCTTGGAACCAAGACCATTTTGCTGATTTCAGGATCAGGACATCATTGCTATCCTTGAAGTAGTTAGTCAGCCAACAAATATCATCTTGATTGTCTTTGGTAAGGTAATCATGAGGAAACCACTCAGTTTTACCACCTGTCTTCTTGTAAATACTTTGCAAAGCAAATCTACCCATAGGTATTGAATCAAACCCCCAAAAAATGCATCCTTTCATTGAATGCTGGGCTCAAAGAGAGTGATTAAAAAAACTTCTTCATGGCTTCAATCATCAGTATCTTTTTATCAGGTTCTAAGTATATACTCATTTTATCAGAATCCACTATGTGAGTCTGACCAATTACCTCTAATACCTAGCCATGCACTTGTTTCTGACAGATCCAAGGGACTCCCAAAATATTGAATATCATCAATAATTTTGCTTGAGATGTCAGAATTTGGTGTTCTTTAAATATTATCCAATATTTTGCATCTGTTACTAGATCAAATATTGTCCATCATACTGTTAAGATACTTGATATGACAAATTTCTTCTGCAATCCAAAGAATTCACAAAAAGAAACCACACCAAATATGTGCTGATGCCGAAGAACCAAAGGCAAGATTGTGATCAAATCTGAATTTATTCTAAAAATCTGGCAAATTTAGTATTGAGGATGAGTCAATAGTGTTCTGAATGCACCTTCAACATCTTATTTAAAAATTATAACATTACCACACTTCTCCATTTCCATCAAATCCAGCACAAAAGACTTCAATGAATTGTAAGGTACTTTAATATTCTCCTCATAAACTAAATCATTTGGAGACAGCTTCCCAAAACCACCTGCCCAAAACTCATATTTGAACATACTCTCATTTTTTTAGAATCATTTTTCAAAGTCATAAGAAACTGAACAACTTGCATTCCAGATAAAAGTATTGAAAACTCTTGGGAATAACATCCCTTACTGATCTCTTCTTCACATTGATCTTCAAGCAAATCTTGTTTATTGAAACATGTTTGATGATTAAGGATTTCAATTATTTCTCAAGACAGAACTGTTGAAGAAGGCCTGAATCCTTCTCTGAGACCCTTGATGACGGAACAATGAAAGGAAATGCCACGGGTTGAAGATAAACCTATGAAACCTGGACAGACAGGTTCAGAGATGATTTTATAAGAACTCAAAAAAACGAGAAACAATGGCATATTGAAATAAATGCCTAACCTGCAAGAGGGCAGGAAAGAGTGGTAGAGAAGAAGTGAGCTACCACAACACAACATGAGTAATCTTCAGGTGAGATGAAGAGATTGAGAAAAAATGAAAAGACATACTCTTTAGCTTCCAGTTCCACACAGTGAGGAAGGGAACTGGAACTCAAGAGAGAGAGAGTATATAAGATAACCTCAAACACAACAACTTCACATGAAATACACATCAGATCTCTAGCTTACTTAGAAAAGCAATAAAAGGTTAAACACATCTAACATGCCAACACACACATTAAGACTAAGAAAGGAAAAACAAAGAATGAGATACACAGCTGCCTCCACCAACAACTGACCAATCACCTTAAACATGTTTGAACATTATGGACTTGACCATTTTACCATAACAAACAAACAAATTGTTGATTAGGGTGGGTGCATAATATTAAGAGTTCTTCAATCTTGTCAAATTTCAAACAAGTCGTAGTATTGTTCTATTATAAAAGCCGTGTTGTTGTCTTCTTCTGGAAGGAGCATCAGGGAAAGGCTCTGCAGTTTGACTAGATTCAGTTGCTGCTGAAAAGCCCATTGGCAAAGTCCCATCCTACTGATAACCTTGTAGACAACACTACAATGAATACTCTTCAGGAATGATTGCTTCTGCAGTGTTTTGCATGACATCCCCAATGTTACATAATTCAATACACCTGCATGAAGGCCCAATACTGCATATCCCTGTCTTATTCCAACTAAAGTAAAATTGTTCTTTAACTCTAGAACCCCTTGCTTCCTCAATATTGAATTTCCCATTATGTTACAAAGAGAAGAATATTTCATATCAGGACTCAAAACTTTTGCAGCTGAAGTAGTAGGAATAAAGCTTGTTCTCTGCCTTGGAAGATTTTGATTGAATGGACGAGAAGAGGAAGCTAGAAGAGATTTCTTAACATGTTAGATACAGCTCAACCTTTTTTCAGATAAACTAACTGACTAGAAGCAAAATTTCACCACCTGAGTTCTGAAAGTTGCATCATAGCCTGCAATGTTTTTCCACTGGGCCATAACTCCCACTGATCACCAAAATTGAGTTTTAGTATATCTAACATTTTGAGAGATAAAAGAATCACAGTCTGGAAATGCAACTTTAAGAGCTTTCTTGAGGATACTAAAATAATACGACCATTCCGTCAAATCAACAATTTCTAAAGTAAGTAACTTTGAAACCTCCAATCCTTTTTCTTTACCAGACACGGTGCAAGAGGTGCCACCTTTCTTTGGGTTCAGGAGTTTGCCCTTGATACACCAAACATTGATAAACTATCCCAACAATAATACTTTAGTAAGCACATCTGGAAAATCTGGCAGTTTGACCATATTGTTGAAACATTTGACCGCTTGTGATATACTTGAGTTGTAAACCTTAACATCCACTGCAAATAATAAAGCACCTGGAGTAAAGTTTCCTGTAGGTTAACAGTTATTGCTTTTTTGATATAAATGCATACTTCTTGGTGTTCTACTCAGACTTTGTCAAATAATCATCTATTTATAGCTCTCTTTCTTTTTCCCTTCTTGTTGAATTCATGTAAACAAAGAAGAGAATTGAGTCAACTTTTGTTTTCATCATGTTGTCTAGAAAGAAGAACAGTTCTTTCTTCATTTGTGATGACTCTAGGAAGTCAGACGTGTTAAAGATAAAGACATGCTCATTGTTTGATTGAGGTTTGCTTGTTGGACAGGGTAATAAGTTTTTGAATATTGGACAGTTTGAATCCCTATCAAAGTTAATGAGCTTGATTGCAAAATTACACCGCTGTCTATATAACCAGTTCTTTTAATGGAACGGTATGACTTTTGCAAATTGGTCTTGTACCATGCACATATTTAACCACCAACTTGTTGATATGAATTTTTGATGTCAGCCAATCTTGAAGTGATCCTCACAGCGGCTTCATAGTTGCCATCATCTCCTGACATTCCTTGTTTACCTTAAAAAATAAATGACTAATTGAAAGAAAATTTTTAGGAAGAGTTTTTGAATTCAACTCTTCGCTGCTGGGGCAAGCACAGCACAAATATGATTTGCCAACACCTGGCCCGTCATTGTTTTTGGTGAAGCCTGGAAAAGCTGAATCATGGTAAACACAAATGAAGCTTATCTAGTATAATAATAACGGAAGATGGTCTTTGTTTAAAAAAATAAGCAAGCCTCTCAAGCCCTCCTAGGCACCTAAATCTTGCCTACTTGCCACCCTATCTTCCCTAGAAGACGCGCCTACTCGGAGCCAGCCATGATGTTTGAAAGTGGATTTTCTTTAGGTAGCTTCGAGCTCTCTCACCGGAGCCTTAAAAGCTCTAGATCAGTTGGGAGTGTTAGTCGACAAGATAAGGAAAAGAAGGAAAATTGGAATGTCAGTTTGCAGTAGAGATGACCGCGGTTTTGTTAACGGAGGGGTTGAAAATTATTATGAGGCTTTAGACTCGAGGAGGCAACTTCCCAGCCTATTGAGATCAACTTGCCTTCAATCAATCAACCAAGAAATGGCTCAAATGGCATTAAGGATGGAGAAAGATGGAGTCTATGTAAAGTATATTTTGTCTTCAGAATCTGTTCTTCCCTACTTCTTCTTTAAAGTTAAATCACATCGTACTCAGAGATTCATCACAATCTATCTTCCTCAGCATTACACTTTTTGTAAACTCAAAAAATGTTCTTCAAAGCTCACTCTATGACAATAACGCTGGTTGTTATCTTGATCTCTTTCATCAGTTTCTTTCCCATTATAAATAGTTTACCGCATTCAATTTTACATTTTTTTTCGAATCAACCGAAAATCTGACAATTGTCATTGTTGAAAAAAAACCGTTAGATATCAAAACGCTAAACCGTTGATTATGAAAGTAAGTATCAAGCATTTCTTGTGACTGAAACCGATTGCCCTTGGAATTCAATTGAATGATTATGCGCAAGTGTCGAAGTAATGCCAAGAGTTATGGAACTGATAAATAAAGATTGAAATGTTTTGATCACTTTAGAAACAACAAACCCCTGTTTACGAGAACATCATCACTCATACTACTACTCTTAGAGGTTCACAGTCAGTTTGATTTATTCCTTTATTTTCTTTATCAATTCTAATCTCAAAAACAATCTGATCATTTACATTTCCTTTTTTTCTGGTCATAATAGTTATCCATCAAAACACTCTTCGAAACCTTCAACACCTTCTTTCATCCCGACTCAAAAACCATCTACAAGACCATCAACGGCTGCGGAAGTAACTGCTTCGAACGCGCCTGCTCCGGACTCGCCTGCATCGAAATCGACGGCTTCGAAATCGACGGCTTCGAAAGCGCCGGCTTCGACTGCTCCTGCTTCAAAAGCGCCAGCTTCACAATCGACTGCTTTGAATGCGCCTGTTGCAACACCTCCAAAGTCGACTTCAAAGGCGGTTCCATCGGCGGCTTCAAAGCCAGTTCAAAAGCCAGCTTCGAAGCCAGTTCCAAAGGCGGTTTCAAAGCCAGCTCCGATGACAGTTCTGAAGTCGGCTCCAAAGCCGGTTCAAAAGCCAGCTCTATCAACGGCGCCAAAGCCAGCTCCAAAGGTGGTTCCGAAGCCAACCGCGAAGCCGACTCCAAAGGTGGCTCCAAAACCAGTCACGAAGCCGGCTCCAAAGGTGGCTCCGAAGCCAGTCACGAAGCCGGCTCCAAAGGTGGCTCCGAAGCCAGTGACGAAGCCGGCTCCGAAGCCAGCGCCGAAGCTAGCGCCGAAGGTGACTACGAAACCAGCGCCAAAACCAGCGCCAAAACCAGCGCCGAAGCCAGTTCCAACGAAAGCTCCAAAACCAGCGCCAAAGCCAGCTCCAGCTCCAAAGAAAGCTTCAAAGCCAGCTCCAAAGAAACCTTGATCAACGGCTTTCAACCATGTCTCTCACCTACAAACGGTGGCTCTACGGTTCTGAGCACATGAGATGGAGATTATCAGGCAAATGGTTTTTTGCTGAGGATTGGATGACTGGTTGATACTTTGGAATGGCCGAGGGAGTAACTCAAGAGCAAGGTGACTTCTCTCACTTAAGGAAGACACTCGTGGCGATGCTTTGTCTGGAACAATTCAAAGGGACTTTGGGACCTACTGACGACGGCTTGGTTGGTCGACGCTTTGGATAGTAGGAATACAACCGACGTAATTGGAGAAAATGGAGTCAAGGAGATGCTCGGTGAGATGGTTTTTTGGGAAGGATTCAAAAGGAGTTGAGGTGGTATGGAAAAAAAGGCTTGAGCCTATATGGGGTTTGAAGGAAATAGTATGATGGATAATTTAGACTTCTTACATTGTATTGCTCGTGATGGATTTTGTATTTTTGTTTGTTTGTTTGTTGAATCACATTTATGTATTTGTTAGTTCGTTCTTATTTGTATGTTACGTGCTGTTTTGGATGACTTTGTAAGTCACTAGTAGCTATTGATTGGCTTCGATTCGTTGCATTTTAATTTTATCATGTCTGTTTACTGCAATGGTATTTCTTACAATATTAGATCTTGTTACAACGTATGATACCTAATTTGATTATGATTGATATCTATCTCTCATTATCCTTGAAGGAGAATGAGATCTTTATCGGAATAAATTCGACAGCTTCGAATGAAGTGATAATCGAGATTTATGAGTGAACAATTCCACGAAAAAACTTTTATTTTGATGGAAATGATATAATTGACACGATCTCTATCAGCAATGTGAGGAATATGAAGAACGATTGAAGTGTTTTTCTTCTCCGACCCGGGTACCATGACTGAAAAGATGAAATGATGACTTAGATACGATAAGACAAAAGTAGACGCAATGAGATAGAAATCGGAAATCAATTACCTGAGATTGACATGACCCTGTGCTATGTGGCGTCTGGGCGCCAAAAGACCTAATATCTGATACGAGAACCATCATTAAATGCAGGTACACCCTCAGGGTATTCCCACTAGATTTGATGGAATTAAGTTTGTGTAATTTGGATCATTGTCACATTTTGGGCCTCCAATCTCCAGTATCGTGCTTTCATGAGATCCATTTTAAATATGCATTTCTCCTTTACTCCTTACTCGTCAAAACAGTGGCTTACTTTTTTTAACAACATTAACAAAAGGAAACAATTTAAACCTTGAAAGAAACTAGATTTCCGATATTTTACAAAAACTTGCTTCACCTTAAAACACTGCCCCTAAACAATTCATCCTTCCAAAAGAATCCATTTGAAATGCAGAAAAAATCAATACAAAGTGTTATCCAAGAACGTGAAAATCCGTATGTTACAGCTTCTACTTTGAATTGAAGATCCAAATTGTGGATTCCCAATCGTCCACAAATTCACAGAAGTTCCGGAGTTAGCAGGGTTGTGGACTGAAGTATAAATCTGAAGAAACCTTTCTAACTGGAATCAGCATTTACCACAACCTCGTAATGCGTTGATCATGGTATAGTACTCGGGCCGAATCTTGATAGCCTTCCATGAAACTATGTAATGGAAGTTGATTGGTTTGTAATCGGAAGTGGAGACGTTGACTGGCTTATACAGAACATACCTGATCCAAGCGCTTGCGCAACCTGCAGCAGCCCTAACACCCTGTCCCCGAGCCTGCATCTCCAAGACGTCATAAACTACGATGTAAAGCTTTAGCCATCGATTTCCGCGCATCATACTTAGAAGAAGGTCCACATACTGGAGAATACACCATCACATAGCAGAGCAATCTGAGTCCACCATAAGCGATCCAGCCCCAAACGACACTCGCGCAAGATTCCTCGCCGCTCACGAGCAATCGAACGCTCCGAGCGCGCTCTTTCACTGGGTGAGAGGTTTTCCCAATCTGTCTGAGAAAAAGTTGAAGTAGGTGTCTTGATCCGCTCATCAGCTTGATCTCGCATACGCATAGCGTGTCGTGTTGTACGGCCAGTAATCCATAGTTCCGTCTTTTTTAACTCGGCTTCTACTGTTCGAACAAGGACATTGACAAAGTGAAGAATGCTGGCAGATCGATTATATCGGCTTGGAAGTAGTCGTAGCAATGAAAGGTCGTCGAAAAGGCCGACGATAGCTTCGATTATGTTAGACGTGATCTCAGCGAATGCCTTCAGTCGCCCACGATCATCGCTAGGAAGTTTGAAGTTGATCCGAGTCTTTAATCCTACTAAGGCTCGGATGGTGTCGAGGAGATGTAGTAGTTTTCGCGACATCGACAGTAGCGACACAATCAATAAAGTCCGCCTCAGCCAGGCCCTACGCTTAGATGATAAAGGTCTTCGTCCGTCTGCATAGAGATAACAGCAAAAGCGCAGACTGTACTGAGTCACTCGCTTTTGTCAACGCAATTGGAATAAGGTTAGCAAAGCATTGAACGTTTTTCTCGGAAAATCAGTGAGACTCACCAGTATAGACTCGAGCCCACCTGGACTTTTACGCATATGAGTGAGTACATCGAGTGGAGAGATCGATCTGGTTGCTATCCTACGAAACTGAAACAGTCGAGTTCAAACCTGACTTACTTTCAGTCATCCATTGCTTGAAAGAAACGTCGCGATAGCCTTAGACCGATCAAAATGCGGCTGACCTGAGGGTGATACATTCCGTTGCAACTTGTCAAACTATCAGTCTGAGTTCCAATCGAAGACATTCAGCTTCAAGTCTGCGTTCCTTCACAATAGCAATCCAAATAAAGGAAGAACGCCTTTTTGAGTTGGGTGATGATCAGTCTTGCTGCGGAATGGACCGGTGCTGCACGCAGTGACTGCCTACCCTTTAAGCCACTGCAGTACTTATACCGTGAAAGCCGTCCTATCAATATATCCGAATTGGTGTATCGGCTAGCATTTCCGCCTTTCATTGCAAGGGCGCGGGAGAGACGGGTTCGATTCCCGTATTCGGAATTCATTTTTGCATCATGTTCACAAGCGGACTCAAATCCAATGCTTTTGTTGTGCGGAGTTGTGATCTTACCAAACAAAACTACCATATTTGGCGGGGTGACATTTCGAGTGGTGCGTTGCCATACTTCAATTTATTCCCCAGAGTACAATGAGATTTTGGATTGGATCATTAGATTGATGGAGGGCAGCAATGGCATGACCTCCTGAAATTGAAGCGCACCTTGGAATTCTTGTGATGAATCTTGTGATGAGATGACTGACATGTCGATCGGTACATGGCAGAGTACCGATTGCTACCCGATTGGGAGACCGAGAGCCCAGTCTATATAAACCAACTGTCTGAAGTTGAGGTTCGAATTAAGACAACTTCAGGGAATAATATCGATCGTCAGCACATCAAAAGGCCATCTCTTAAGTCAGAATCAGCTGATAGCCATCATGGATCGACCCCATCAATCTTTACCTTCAACTCCAAATCGACATAAAATGTTCTACAGACAATTCGTACCTCCGATGCTTCATTGTCTCGTTCTTGCTCTTACCACTTATACCGGATTGAAACTTCTGAAACAAAAATTAAGAGATGAGCGTAGGTTTGAAGAATTGGAAAGCAGAAAACTTATACTTGAAAAAGAGGTTCAAGATGCTGTTCAAACGATTAATTCCGCTCCTCCGCGAAGATCTTCTTGGTGGGAAAAGATAGGATGGTGATGCCACATATCGCTCGAGTGACAGAAAACTCATCCACTCAGTGTATGACTCTGTAAGCCTTTTTCCGGAAAAGATGCCTAGGCCTGCAAGAGATAAAGAACCTAATCTTATAAACCAACTTTTTGGGTTTAGATCAATCGGCGTCATCATCGTCGTACGGAAAGGATAAAGAACAAATCAATAAGCTGGCGATTCTTTTCCGCACGATGATTTTTGTATCAAGTCTTTGAACGTCAATTTACTTACCTTTCCCAAGATTGGTTGGAAGAGAACCACTGCCGGCCGGATCGTGAACTATGAAATTCAAGGGACGAGAATCATCATGATATACTTCGAGTCCATGGATTTGATGACGATTCCAGGACCAAAGAGACCGCATCGAGATTACAACTTTGCGTAGACAATACTTCTTCGTAGCTCACGCCAGACTTATATGGGCCTTGATTCACCCGTTTCCTTCCCAGTCTTCGAGACATGTTATCTAAATTGTAAAATAACAGGAGAACCAAAGCTTGACCAAATATCAGGCCAAGGAAAAGCTTTGAGGATGAAAGGACTAAAATTTGTGCATTATACAAAATTTGCGGAGCACGCGAGGCCTAAATATATACTCAGTCCACCTTAGATTGTATCGTGCTGGCGTAGTTCATAGAAAAAATCAAGCGCAAACAGAGACACGGACCCATTCTGCCAAGTCATGGCAAGATGGAATACGAGACTCACATTCCCACAATATTTTGATGTGCGCCCCTAACACGCACCCCTTTGCCAAGGTTTGTAGAGTACCTGAAGCGCTCCTCCACGTGAATTCTCCAGGTATCTTTTCAAACATCTTACTTCCCGATCAACTGAGTGGGGAATGTGTCTAATTCAAGTTCAAAAGACGCATAACACAAATTGGTCTTGGTCTTTGATGGGTATGAGTACGTGAAAGTGACTGTACTTGTTTTGCTAATGAATCTGAGCTTTGCTACACTGGCATCACGGATTGGGGACCATTCTAGTCAGTAGAGCATCTACTCTTAGGCCATCCTCTCATTGATTGTCTTTCAATTCAAGTGCATCTATAATTTGGCCCATCTCCAGAAATCCTCTTGCAAGGAAATTGAAAAATGTGATCAAATCTCATCAAGCATATAATTAGCCTTTGCATTGTATTTTTGTGCTATGGGCTTGGCATCTGAGAGATGAAATCAGGTTGCCTGCCACGGATCATGAGACAAAACCTGATTGGAGAGTCACCGCAAACCTAGAGAAAGAGACTACAAAGAAAAAAGGTTTCAACTGTGATAAAGAAAAAATAACGACAAAATGGGCCAAGTTATTATGTCTACGTCATGAGCCATGTCGCCAAATGGGACATATGCAAGAAAGAGATGAACTAATGTGTGTCTTACGGCCGTAAGTACATGTATGCCCATCTGAAATAGTACCAGAAATTCCAACTTGTACCACCATTAACAAAAGCCTCTGGTACTCAAATGATGCTGTCTTGAAGTTCACAATACATATCCGCATCGCCTAAACATTTGAACACTAAAGAATCATCAATAAAAAAATAAGGCAAATAACAACCAAGGCAAACTCTTAAAAACAAAAATTGAGATAGAGGTGTTTATCATTCATTGAAAGCAGTCCCAAAATATTTGTAGAAATCGCGAAATTGTGATTTGAGAGGAGCTAATTCTGGTGAAACTGATTTAGGCCAAGTAACTCCAGCTTTTGGATGACTGATTCTACTTCCCATCCTTTTGGTTTGGGATTCAAGCATAAGATTCTTGAATTTGATCTTCCTTTTGAATTCAATCAACCGTTTTGCTAAAATACCAAAGTGAGTGCCAATCATATATTCAGAAAGGGTGACAATCTCATCATTTTCCGAAGGGGGAACTTTGCCTTTCTCCTTATCTACTTCCTTCACTAATTCCGCACCTTTCTTCTTATTCATTTGATTGATTGATGTTTGATCTTCGGTCTCGAGTGATTTATCATAAATTGTCGCTCGATCTTGGCCAAATTCAACCAAGCGTTTCAAACGATTTTCAAAAGTGCCCCGAAATTTCTTGTCTTCAAGAATTAACATTCTAGCACCAGATGTATACCAATGTACTGGTTCTCTATAGATTGCCCGCCCATCGACAACAATTCCCCCTTTCAAACAGTTGAAAAAGTCTCTAGCCTTCCAACCCAGCTGTGCTTCAGATAGATTCTCCCAGTTTAATTTCGGAGAAGTCAAGTCGAGTATATCACCCACTCGTATCAGTAGCGCAGCAGAAACCCCTTGTCTTACCCAGGCCTTTAACTCCTCTTCGCTATACATCATTCGATTTTGGTGTCTATTGGCCTCTCCGGCAGCATACATCGTTGCGATTCGCTTAGCTCGCGCATCCTGTGGCATCGCCAACTCCAGTAAATTCTTTGATCTGAGATTGAGACTAGATATCTTGTCCTCTACCACTTTCCAGTCATCTGGTTTTGCGTCATAGAATACTGGCCACATCTCATCTACTTTTAGCATTCTGATAATGTCTTTGATAGGTTCATCCAGTATATGCCTATGGAGCTGCCAGGTCTTGAGTCTGTTGTCTTCGATCACTTGATTTTGTAGAGCGAAAAATCGACGATTCGCTTCTTGATATGAGACTTTTGATATCAGCTCCTCGAGGTATTGACTCATCAGTTGATCTATCACATTTCCTCTCAAATGATCATATTGCGAGTCTAGAGTAAAGATCTCGTTATAACGTGGACGATCCAGATGCACGGCTAACAGGGGTTTTGGATTGTCTCCCTGGACTAAATCGTCAGAAAACGTATGCGAAGGGGATGAGTAGACGTTCGAATGATGGATTGAGAAGTCTACAAGACTATGGATGATAGTTGGATTTACCCATGTCCCAAATTATCTTCCGAATCTTTGATTTGGCATCAGGGGCTATATATGCTGCGGTCTTCAAAACGTCATCATCCACCTGATCATCCTCTTTGAAGAGATCAAGACAAGATTAATTAATTTGATCATTGATAGATTGCGTGTAATAAGTTTCCTTGATTGATTGGACTTACTGGATGATTTTGCGCCTTTCTTTTTCTTTTTCTTCTGATTCTTTTTATTTGATTCTCCAATCTTTCCGAAATTTTGTCCCTCGGTATCTAGATCTAATCGAGATATGGGGGTATTTTGATCCTCAGGGGCCTCGTCTTCCACCTCAGTATTCTGTTTGCAAACAATTTCAGTTTCAGAAACAATTAGATTTTCATTACGACTCCGAGATCAGGATATCATGAGAATGTCTCATCATTCAATACCTCGAGTTCCCCTTTTCTGGTGGACTTGAAATCTTGGGCTTTTGTCAGTCGGGCTTTGTCTAATAGGAGTTTTTCTTGTCCAGAGCTTTTAGGAGGATTTCCACGCGTTGGCTGTAGGGGTTTTCCGAATTTTCTATTTTTCTTCGAATACACTTGCCACTCTTGATCTTTAGTTTTTTCCGGAACTTCATTTGAATTCCCTGATGAAGACGATGTTGACGCGCCTTCGGATGGCCGGTTTCGATTCTCTGATGCATCAGAGCTTGAGCTGATCAGGACACAGGAGAAACCCTTTAGCGTTGGGACTCGAGTGCAAAGTGTCTGGGATTTTGGTAAAAGAGAATGAACATACACTACAAGCTTATCGCGACTTTCGGGTGCTGGTGATTCACCCGAAATCTCTTTGAAGGTCTTGATTTGCTGTGCATTGCTGCTTTCTTTCAGGGAAAATGGAGCAATGCTGTGCTCTGAGGCCGGTCGCAAGGGAAAAGATGGAATCACCTGTATATCCTTTGGCGTTGGAGGTGAATCTGATGGTCGAAAAATACTAGATTTCACCTCACTAATCAGCTCTGACTCCTCATAAACACATAGTGTGCGAAAATCACCCACGCGGAATCCGGGTTCAAAGCTTTGGAAGGTTTAGTACTTTGTCGAGTGTCACCGCCCCTGAAAGGCCAGGCTTCCAACTCCGACAGACTGTCATCCCCGCGTCGTAAGATGAAATCACATTAGAGAAGCAAATTGTTGGTGATTGATAAACAAGTGTTCGTCTCATCCTCACTTAGGTCTAATCGTTTTCTCCACCCGGTTAGCTGGCCCTACAGTGCTTGGCTGGTTAGCGCCCATTGAACTTGACGCACCATCCACAGTGCTGTCACTTGAAGCAGCTTTTCCTTTGGAGTCTTTTTCGACAGGGTGCTTAGTAGACCCCTGATTTCTGTAGTACAGCAAGTGCAATCATAAGTAAAACAACCTCCTTCTCATTGAGAATTTTATCTCTACTGACATTTGAGGGTTGAAATTTGCTTCTGGTAGCTTCCGTTGATTCCAAGTAGCTCCCAACTGCTGCTTTATGGGGCCCACTTGCTGGATTCTACTCGAGAAGATCGGGTTTGGCCATTCAGAGATAAGGGTTCCATGAGGAAATTCATCAATGTTTGAAAATTCAGGCCTACAGACGACTCACGCAGGATCAAAAAACGGCTGCATGTTTTGAGCCACAGGGTATGGTCCATGTTGAGGTTGTGCTGCGGAGACTGGATAGGGAGTAGAATCGTATTGAGGATGGACAGGAGGTATCCAATTTGATGGAGACAAGCCGCTTTCCGCGTTCTTTTGAAATGCTGACCCCCATACTTGAGCATCTCTAGCTTCCCAGAAGTACGGTAAGGTTATAGGGTAGTGTAAGAAACCTGCTGGTGTTGGTAGCCGTGTCTTGGTCACTTGAAAATAGTTTCCGCTCGGATGATATTCAGTATATGAGACCGCGGAGTGTTCGGCGCCGGTATCGTGACCCAGGTCGTGGGCGAGACCGGCTGACATATGAAAGCCGTCTTGCATTGGTCCAGCTTGCACCATGCAGATCAGCACGCATGAGATGAGTGTGGAGTAGAACGCAAGAGGGAAAACAGCCCATGAAAGCGATTGAGAAGCCATATTGCTCAAGTACATCGAAGATGTGTCGAGTATTCTGGAGGAAACGTCCTGGCCGGATGCAAAGTGATCAGCAAGCTGAACAGAGGCCTATACATTGTACATAAACGATGAAGCTTATGGAGCGCCGTCCGCAAAGCTTTGTGGAAACTTGTAAGAAGCATCACCCTTTTGTTTAGATCAACGCGAAACTCTGAAACCACTTGTTTGTATTGCTTTAAGAAACTGATGAGTGCGAAGGTTGTTTGGCTCAGGATTAAAAACGTAGCTCTAGTTATAGGCCTGACAATTCACCAAGTCTTTTCAAAACAAGCGCTTATATTATATAACAGTTTAAGCGCATCATCAAACGGCGTGTGTAGTGATATTCAAGAAACTTGAAATGATCTGACAAATCGAAGCATGGTGTATGCCACAGTGAAAAGGACGGAGAGGCTCCTATGGCGATCTGACGAACTACCCCGGGATGATTGAGCTCGAAATTGAACAGATAGAATCAAATCCTGTTTGAAGTTTCAACACATGCAGTACTTGATCGAAGAGCATCGAGATTTTGATTATCGCGATCCTTGGACTTATGAAAGTGGTCGATTAAGGGAAGAGTTGTGATATGAAGACGAAAAATTGTACTCAGGAATTTGTTAAATAGTTGAAGCAACTTCAGATAGGTGACATGTCTCAATTGGAGCATCACTTCGTTGTTATTTATCCTATACACAGAAGTTTCACACCGAGGACAGAGGCAACCTCATCGGGAACCGCTCTGCATGAACAATGGCTCGAAATCAAATGACTCTGGCCAACGCTGGAAGTTGAGGGTCATCACGCCTCTCAAAACGTGGTCAACAAAGAACTTAGTTTCACCGGTAAATCTATCTACACTTTCATTGTCTTTGACTTTTGTGATTGAAATTGTCACCATCCAAAAGGGCCGGTGGTGTACCATGGTGATCTATTTGACTCAACAATCAAGAAGAAAAATTCAAATATTATTTTTATCAGAAGTACTTGCAAGTTTCACTCCTTATTAGTGATACAAAGCTCTATATACGACCACCGTTAGGCTGTGAGCTTGTCTAATTTGATATCTTACACCCACCATATGAGCTGCGCGGGGTGTAAGAACTGAGAAAATTCTCTTGAGATTGTACAAAATCCTTTGAATTCAAGTTCAACACTGTTTGAGGCTGTAATTTTTATGATCAGCTCTTGAGAAGGCCATCGCATCTACATATTGAGACCAAACCATGATGCTTGCTATGTCAAATGATGGCGTTTATTTAGGCAACTTTTGAAAAATCCACCGGGAAAGGGGTTATGTCACTTAGCAGTGCATTCCTGGACAGTCAAGTCCATAATTTGTGACCCAGATTTGCCGCCAGTTAGCTCAAGTTTTGCAGGCAATTTAGGCCACAAGCTTTGAGATTGGATTTGACTGCAAATTATGAAGCAACATACATAGTATATGTATATGAATGACAACCATTTATAGCCCATGTCCTCAAACTGATCCAATTCTCAATATCATCGTGGGCTTTGCTAACCTTTTTTGGTAATTTTCTCCCAAGGATATTGAGAAATATGGTTCAAATTGGTCCCAGCTTATTAATTCTGTGTTATTGCGTTCTTGTGGGACACTTCTTATCTACAAACAGGTTGTAAAACTCAAGGAATCATCTGCTAAAGTTCACTATGTAATGTGGAAAGATATCTACAGCAAAGCACAACCACGGAAAACTGCTTAGAAGCAGAAAATATCACCACCGTGATAAAAATTGGAAAATTCAATTGTCATTAAAAGGAATTCCCAAAAAGTGGAAGAAGGCATGAAATTGGGGTTTGAGTGCTTGTATATCTCTTGTAACCAATTTACCCTTAGGCCAAGTGATTCCGGCTTTGAATTGACTGGTTATATCTCCCGACCTGTTGCCTGAAACTTTCGATACCGCATTTTTGAATCTTACGATCGTTGTGAATTCGAGTAATTTGTTCGATGGGATACCAAAGTGAGTACTAATCATGTGTTCAGAGAATGTGAAGCTCTGGTCTTCTCGCTGAGAGATACCCGCGTTCTTCTTCAGATCCACTGACGTCCCCGATTTTTTGCCTTGGGTCTCGAGTGGTTTATCATACAGCGTCACACGATTTTCTCCAAATTTAATCAACTTCTCCAACCGAGAATTGAATGTGCCCGCAAACTTTGGATCTTGAAGAATTAACATTCTAGCTCCTGAGAGGTACCAATGTATAGGTTCTTTATAGATCAGTCGATGACCAAGAGCTATCTCTCCATTCAAGCAGTTGAAAAAGTCACTGGCTTTCGACCCCATCTCTTCGTCTGGTATATCCCTCCAGTTTGCTTTTGGAGAAGTTAGCTCGAGTAAATCCCCCACTCGTATTAAAAGAGGAGCAGATACCCCTTGTCTCATCCAAGCTTCTAATTCTTTTTCGCTATACATCATTTGGTGTCCATTCTTCTTGGCCTGGCCGGAAGCGTAAATAGTCGCAAGTCGCCTGGCTCGTAAAACATGGGGCATCACCGATTCCAGTTGACGTTGCGAATCATCATTGAGCTCAGAGATCTTCCTCTCCACCAATCTCCACTCATCCAGTGTCGCATCATAGAACGCTGGCCACATCTCATCTCCTTTCAACATTTCCATGATCTCTTTTACAGCTTCACCCACACGTTCTTTCTGGGTCTGCCAATTCCTAAGTCGATTTTCTTCAAAAAATTGCATTTGAATAGCGAAAAATCTACGACTTGCTTCTTGCAGTGAAACTTTCGCTGATAGTTGATCCAGTTGTTGATCAACAATTTGGTCTACCAAATTCAATCGTTCGTCATTTTGTTTCGCGTCTAGCGTGAATATTTTATTGTAAATCGGAAGGTCGAGCCCTACATCTAATAAGGGTTTTGGATTGTCGCCTTTGACTGCAGTCCCAGAAAATGCATGCAAGGAATTTGACGGTCAAGATGAGCAATTGGGACGTTTGAAGAGTGATAGATGAGAGCGGAAGTTGCATTCACCCATGTACCATATGCTTTTCTCAATCATCGATTTGGTCTTGGGGTCCAAATAGGCCGCAGCGCTCAAAAGGTCTTCACCATCCAACGGCTCAGCCTCTTGAAAAGATCAAAATAAGATTAATCTTTGATCACGCATTGGATGTATTTGAGAGCTTTTCAGTATTCTAGACTTACCAGATTGTTTCAAACCTTTCTTTCTATTCTTTCTATTCTTTCTGTTGTTTTTCTTCTGCTCGCCACTCATGCCCGCAGCTGGTGTTTCATTATCTAGATTTGACTGAGATCCGGACACCATCTTTGCCTCAGGGTTCTCTTCTTCAACCTTAATATTCCGTTTTCAGCCAGGAAAAATTTTAATAAGTCGGTGACTTTTTGAATTTCACGAGATTGAGAGCTCATAACTAGAAATATGTATTTCAATACCTTGTGTTCTCCTTCTTGTGGATGTTCCAAATTTGCGTCCTTTGTCTCTTTGCCTTTGTCTAGTTGAATGTGTTCCGGTCTATAGCTCAAAGGTTGATGTCCAATTCCATCCAATTTGGAGGTGCCTTTCAACGGTGGATATTTTCCAGGTTTTTTATTTTTCTTGTGGTACACTTCCCATTCTTGCTCTCTTGACTGTTCGTGTAAAGGATTTGAAGATTCCGATGAAGATGATTTTGATACTTCTTGGTTTGGCAAGTTTTTTTTGTCTGAAACTTGAGAGCCTGACCTGAGACAGAGGAAAAAACCGTCAATTATGAGACGCGGCTCGCAAGGAGTCGAGATCACGAAAGACTCCACCTACGGTACCAGCGTATCCTGCTTTGCTGTTGGCATTGATGTACTCGGTAATTCTTGTGATTCCTTGGTTCCCTGAACCTTGACACTTTCCCCTCTGTTACCAAAAGCCAGCTCTAGATTTTTCTTGGGACCTGCTTCCTCAACTTGTGAAACTGAAGCACTGTTGTGCACCAAGACTTGATCAAGGGAAGAAGACGGAATGGCATCAACAGTGCCACGCATCTGAGATGGAGCTGTTGATGGCTGAAAGCTACTGAATAAGACATCTATCAATCAGCTTGACCTTCTGAAAGGCGCAGATCAAGAAAACACTCACGCGGAATCTGCGTCCAAAGCATGGGGAGGTTTACGACTTGGATGATTAATACCGCGGTTAAAAGGCCAAGCTTCTAGCTGTGAAAGACTGCCATCCCCGCGTTAAAAAAGTAAGCTCTATGCTAGAAGGTTGCTGATTGGTAGATAACCATGCATCTGGGGCCTTACTTAGGTCTCATCATTTTTTTCGACTGGTCAGCTTGCCCCGCAGTGCTTTTCTGTTCAAAGCCCATTGGTCTTGATGTCTCGTCCAAATTGATCTCACTTGAGACACCTTTTCCCTTCAAGTCTTCTTGAGAATGATGCCTGGCGTCTTCAAGATTTCTGTTGGGTAGCAAATATCATCGTTAGTAAAACAATCTGTTTACCATCAAGAGAAGCGTTCATCCTGACGTTTGAGGCTTGAGATCTGCATTTTTCGGCTTCCTTCCGCTCTGAGAAGTCCTCCATTGTTTCTTTGTGGGTCTCACTTGCTGTCTTCTGTTCGAAATTATTGGGATTGACATTTCCAAAACAAGGAATCCATGAGGACGTTTATCAATCTATGATGAACCCCTCTACAAATGACTTACACAGGATCAGAAAATGCATGGATGTTTGGAGCCAAGGGGTATGATCCGTGTTGAGAAATTGGCCCGGGGACTTGGTAGGGAGGTACCACGGGCACGTGAGGTAAATTGTACTGAGGATGGACATGTGGTATCCAGTTCGATGGGGTTAGGCCGCTGTCCGCGTTCTCTTGAAGCGCTTGCCCCCATTTTGCAGCATCTCGTTGATCCCAAAAGTACGGTAGGGTCACGGATGTTGGGAATTCCACGAAACCTGCAGGCGGTGGTAACACTGTATGAGTCTGACGCACTTGAACGTAATTTCCGTCAGGAAGGAGTACAGTGTGTGACATCGCGGGGAGTTGAGATCCGCTCGTGTGATCCAAGTCGTTAACTAGACCGGTCGAGATATGAAAGCCTTCCTGCATCGGTCCAGCTTGCGCCATGTGGATCCTCATGTATAGGAAGAAGACTGCGCAGTGCGATGCAAGAGATGGAATGCTCCATGTGAGAAATTGAGGAGCCATATCGCTCAAGTTGGAAGAGGACCTGTTGAAGATGTGGGTCTGCTAGAGAAACCTGCCGTGGTGGAAGAAAACGACAAAGTGTGCTTGGGCAACGAGTTTTGAAAAAGGTCAAGCTGACGCGCATAGAATACCGGCATCCACTAAGCTTCGTGGAAACTTGCAAGAAGGCTCAGCCTTCGTTTAGCCCATGGATTAAACCTGAAACGAATTATCCGCGTAGATTTAAGAGGCGGCCGAACGCTAAGCTTTATCGAATCATCCTGATGACCCTAGCGCTAGCTAGCTCTGACAATTCACCAAGCCACGTCAAGGACAACCCATATGAGTAGGCTGCGAGCGTCATCAGACAAATAACTCGGGACATAATTCGATGAGAAATCGATGCCGGCTAATTTGGGTAAATTCCAGACACTGGGAACGAATCACCCTCTGGAGAGTCTGGATTCATAAATCCGACAAATGGCATATGGTCTGCCAGCTAAAAAGGACTTGAAGGTTGCGAGAGGCGATTCAAAGACTAGAGATATGATCGCGTTTGACTTCATCAACATTGACTTTTGGTTAAAGGCGAACACATATGTAGCATTAGATTTACTGAACATAGAAAAGAAAATGAAGGATCTGAGTTACTAAATTTGACACTAATGATGATCTATGCCAAAAAGACTTGGATGCGCAGAGGTCAAAAGCTAAACAAGGACCACAAGGAAACCCATAGCGACCAAAGCAAGACTCTGATGTACATTAACCTGTCTGGCCTTACCAGCCAAAGTCCTGGGAGGGGTGGTGGGGGTAATATTCGTATTCGAAGTGGTATAGCTGGCAGTCGATGGAGTTCCTGATGTGGTGTTTGACGTGGAGGTCAGGTTGTTTGTGTTGCCAGTACCTGTGTTTCCCTGTGATGCAGTGGTTGATGTTGGGGTCGTGGTTTGTGCACCTCCTCCCGAGCTTCCTGCGGTGCCCACGGTGCAACCTTGACACACTGAGAGGAAGAGTATGTCAGCACATTTTGCACCAGCTGGCTTTACAAAGGCTGATCATCATTTGTATCTTATACGCAAGCAGGTCAGACTCATAGCTTACTCGCATGGGAATCGGGCGCTGTCGTCCCAGTGCAGCTGTATGTTGCGGTTTCAGTGATGCATACTTTGGATGGGTATTGGGCAACAATCAGACTTGATGAGCGCAACACTCATGATGTTTATCACGAAGATTGAAAACCGAGGTGCTTACGTCTCGCTGCCGCACTGTTTCTCCCAAACCCTACGGTACATTTCACATTCGATACTGGGTTGTTCGGTGGATCGCTAGCGGAATTGGGCTTCCCCATAAAGTCGGTAGCGTTGGTTATCAAAAGACAAGATGGACCAACTGAATCACCCAACAGTTAACGCCAAAGCCTATGATTTGAAAAGTATGACGTGAAATTTGCATACCAACGAATGGACCTTCACATCCGCCCGTGCAGGTGTAGCGTTCATTGCACTCTGTTGATTTGTTGCCAAATGATCAGTTAACCCTCATTGTCGTGATCTCCAAGAATGGACAGAAAGTATCTAACTTACGAGCGTTATTGGTGTTGGCTTTAGCGTACATAGTGCACTTCATTGACTCAGGGGTCTTGGTGTCTTGAGCCGAAGCCAACGTGACAGCACTGAAAGTTGTTAAAAAGATTGCGAACCACCAAGCAGACATGGTGAAGGATTTTAACAGGTTCTTCAAAGGAATTCCTCAGATACTTGCAACTGGTGATTCAGAGAGGGATGGTTTGTGACTATTGGGGCAATGAAGGGTGGTGTTATAAGGTGAAAGTTCGGATGACTTTAAGTTGGACCCCGGAGAGCTGAAGGGAATTTCATATCTAAACTCTAATGGATAGCTCTTTGTTGGACTGACGCCGCCATGAGTCACCTTATGCATACCGTGAGAAAAGTATTTGTGCATCCAAAAAACTCCACGCTCGAAGAAGCAGGAGTCGGAGGAACACGGGAATGGGAATGGGAATGGAAGCTGTATGAATGAATGCCCTGCGGGCACGCCAGCGGCCCAGGGCGGCCCAGACTGCCTGGGTGCCCGTGATTTGTTTTGCTTGATCATCTTTTTTCTTGATTTTTTCTTTCAACATAGGCTCCGTATAGCTCTTTTTTATGTGCAAGTATGCTCACATAGCCTCTAAATGGACTCTGATACACGTATAATGGCAACATAGGTCAAAATGATGGCAATTTTAGCACATTTTTGCACCTATAAAGCATTCAAGGTGCGCCCTACTTGGCCCCGAGTGATTTTTGGATTCCTTTAATGGGTCTACCCAAGGCCGGATGTGGCCCTGTGGCCGCCCTGAACTTTGAAGGTTGGGTCACAGCTCTCACTCAGAGTCACAGAGTGCACACACAGCTGCAGTTCTCTGTGACTCTGATTCACTTGGTGCAACCTCTGGCTTGAGTGACAGAGATTCTGAATAGGATAGAATTTTCGTCCCAGTGATTTTTTTGAGTTTGTTTTTTCTTTCACATTTCTCCATCTGCTGATTGTGTGACTATGTGTCAGGTATGAGACATGATGTCATCATTCTTCTCACAAATTGATTGTGTCCTACTACACCAGGGGGCAAACATCCTTGGCCCTTGGTGGTCCCTGCAATACTCAGACCTCATTGTAATGTACCATAACATGGACATATTGTTACAGCAGATCTTATTCTAGCCAAAAGCAGGTTATGGTACAATGGGACCGTAATATATTGTATTGCAATGACCATTTGAAACTCAGTTTACGGTCATCATGTTACTTGAAATATAAAAAAATATTGTTAAAAAGAGACAAGAAATAAGACAAAATAAGACTTTTAATGAGGAACAGGACAATTGATAAAAATGCTTAACAAGAGACAAGCAAAAAAAACTTGATTAAAAAATAATCAAAACTTAATGAGAGACACAAGAAAACAAATCAAATCTCTCAAACACAGGGGTTTGATATGATAATACCACCACTTTTTTTTCATCTTCTTACCCTTGCTCTCTTGTTCCTCATACTCTTTCAAGTTGTACTTCACACCCTCTTCAAATTTATTTGTGGGTACAATGCCTTTCTTGATCCATTCCCTACATCCTACTTTCCTTGTGATTGTGTTGGGAAGTATCAAGCATTTACCAGGGGATGCAACATCAGCAGCCGAAGGGAAAGATTTGTTGACACAGCAGGTTGTTTATGTCAGGGGGAATTCTGTAGTAATTCTGTAGTCAACCATAGTGACTGCAGGTTTTGTTGCGGCAACTGCAAAGTAATACACCTGTAATTGTAATCTGGAGCATAACCGTATTTCCCTACCACACATTTTGGTACACCAGGACTGTAATGCCCAATGGGCAGTTGCAATACAGTGATCAAGGGCCATACCATACCGTACTGCTGGCCATAGCCGTCATGCCCAGGTCTGGGTGTTGGTCCCTGGCACATTTTCAAAAATTTGGTGACCAGAAGTTGAACCAACAAGAAACATGTTTGGTCACCAACACACCTTTTTGTATTAGAAACCACTTCACCAGCTTCGCCCTGTCAGTGTTAAGGTTGTATCTGGGGTTCTGGGACGGGGATGGAGGGTTGGTGGTCTGGGTTCACAATGTAGGTTGTTGGATGAAGAAGAAGGCAATAGGAACTACAATGTGTAAAGCTAAAGTCTCTTTGTCTATCTGTGACATGTTTTAATACACCTTTCACCATATGTAATAGGTGTTGTGAGATCATAACATTCAGTTCAACTTTAAATGAATTGAATTGGCTTTCTGAATCAGATTCAAATTTTGACATCTTTAAACCTGTTGAAAAAATGTAAGTTAACTTAAATACCTCAAATAAATTGATTATCTTGAAACTTGATTCCTTCAAGAATTGTTTCTTTGGTTTTCATGTGTTCATGTTACTTAAAACCTGAAAATAAGATCAAACATAAATGAATTCAAAAAGAAAAAACAATTCAAGAAAATCAAACAAGATTAGAATCCAAGATGAGAGTTGGTTAATGGTCTAAAGTGATTGATCTTACCTTTTTTGTCTGTGATAAAGTTTGTAATCTGAAGTTGGAACTAATCAAAGAGCTCTTAGAGAAATCATGAGATCAATTGATCCTGTGACGTAGGACCGCTCCTGACACATCCCACAGCATGTCCTTGGAACTTTTAGGATGTGTGTCCCCTCTTATTTTGTTTGCGGTGATAGTTCTGTGATTGGAACTGCTTGTACACATCCCTTCTGACGCCATGGGAATTATCAAGTGTGAACCCTGATTGGGCAAAGTTGTTATGACTGAGTCTGCAGCTTCAAGTGTGAATCTTGTTTACCATGGGTTTGCTATGTGTTTGCTAGCTTCCCTCAAGCTGCCCTTTTGTTTTATTTATTCATTTTTCACTTTAATGTGCTTTTGCTTTCATGCATCACACTAACCATCTACATAGATCTACTGCAAATGATGTCTATTACAACTTCTTGTGGGGTTTCTTTCACCATGAGCTCACTACATATGTGGTACTGTAGTTACATATATAGTGCACCACTTGAGGGCAACTTGAGCTTTGCTAGAAAACCTATGGCAAACCTAGGGCAAACCAGATTGTAAGGTGGAGTTGTCTCTCCACCTTCACTAGCTCGGAGACTCAGGCACTGGCTCACGGAGAGCAGAGGTTTTCTAGAACCCCTCGTATCAATTACTAATCCACCACTTGAGAAGTCAGAACCCGTAAAAGAATAGAGATAATAGAATAAGAAAGATAGAAGAAACCACCTCGTACCTAATCCACCACTTGAGAAGTCAGAACCCGTAAAAGAATAGAGATAATAGAATAAGAAAGATAGAAGAAACCACGAGGAAAAGAGAAGACTCGTAAGGGGGGAAGAGAATCAACTATCTACACAATCACAACTGTCTAATCCCATACTTGTATAACCCATACTATCTATGTAACTCTTCCACCCTTACACAGATCCACAATTGAAGAAAGTTGCAGACCTAGTCACCACAACTTTGCTCAATTGTGGTTCACACTTAATGATTCCTGTGGTGTAAAAACCATTAAGAGCATCCACTATCATGATGGTGATTTAACATAAGTTTTGCGTTCCTGACTGTGAAATTTTATCATGCGTGTTTTACCTAAGTTGGTAACCGCACGAAATCCACTACAGGATGATGTAATGCCTGATTTAACTACAATAAATCACCGTGAATCAATCAGGTCCACAGTGGTTTGATTTTGAAATGATATATCATATCTTCTCACAAATCCCATCCGAAAAACCATCCATCAAATGCCCACTACAAGTTCCTTGAAGAGACACATTGACCTTCTTTTGAAGTGTTCAAACCACAATAATGAGGAACATCAAGAATTTGAGCAACTTGTCTTTGAAATCTTGTTTTATAGGCTTCACACACCACCTTCACACTGTAAACATCATTCAACTTCCCCAATTTGGCAGAGGAAAATGATTAATAGTACAGTTTTTCATAAAAGAATATAATACTGCACACCTGGGCCATTTCACCCACACTACATATGTGCAGCAAGCTAAGTCAATAGTTGTCTATCATGTACATACAGGTCTGCTCAGTTTTTTGCCCATCAGAATAAATAAATCACATGTTATACCACATGTAACTTTTTCGACTTTGAATTTTTTTTCCCAAAAATTCACTACATATAATTCTGTAGCTGCTCAGGCAATATTGTTGAAGCTATGTCTTAGTAACAGAAAGTGTGTTACATGCAGTTGAGTTGATGAGATCACACCAAAACATTGAGTCAGTGTATGTAGTCAATCTTTTGGAAGCTTTTTTCAATCTGAAAGAAGTTACAGCATGTATTACATATGAATAACTTGTCCTGATGAGCAGATAACTGAGCAGAACTGTATGTACATGATAACCACATATTCACTGAGCCTGCTACACATATGTAGTGTGGGTGTTATGGCTCAGGTGTGGAGTGATAGACCATTTTATGACAAATCATACTCCCAATCATTTTTCCCTGCCCACTTGGGGAACCCGAATAATGTCTGCAGTGTTCACCTTTTCAGACTCGATTCCAAACAGATTGAGCTCAAGCTCAGCCTACTCAGCAATTGACTATTCTGCGACTCAATTCTTAAGGTGTCTCACAAAACCTCAAGATATAGGGCAATGTTGTGGTTGAAATTGATTCAATTCAAAGTGAAATGTTCCGAAATGTGATGTCTTGAAGTTGAGATTTGAGGATGAAGTTTGAAATTTGAAGTTCAAAAGTGAGGTTTTGATGTGTGAAGTTTGAAGTTTGAGAAATGAAGTTTCATATGCAGTTTGAAGTTTTGAGAACAGTAGTTTCGACTTGATTTCCTACAATAAATCAAGTCATAGCCTTGCGTAGATTTGAACATGGGGAATGCAAAATTTGACGCGGTCGTAGGGACCGCAAGTCTCAGGTCCATAGTGGACCTGTCTATATTTTAGCATTAAAGTTACCCTAAATCACTTGGTTACAACTCCCATAGTGGATTCTCTAAGAAACATCCCAAATGAATTGAGAATGAGGTGTTTCTGGACTGGGTCAGTTTTGGCTGTGGTGTGGTGACTTTTACCCCCTGGTGTAGCCAATGAGCTCAACTTGCAAGCTCAAATCATTGTTGATGCTGTTGTCATTCTTTTTGTCTTGGTGAAGAACAATGTACACTATTGTACAACAATGTGAACCATACAAAGATTGATATACAGTCCTGAATACCGGGTAGAAGCTTAAGGTGAAAGCATTGAATGAAACTTCAAGATTCACAACAAACAGGATAAGTGACCAAAGTAAACAAAATTGAAAACATTGAATATGTTGTTTTGAGATGGAATGTTTTAATACCGCTGGAGGTAGATAGTTGATTGAGTTGAGAATGGTTTGATTTGGATGAGTGATTGCTTCCAAAGGAAGTCTCTTGAGACAGTCTTGAATGGATTGATTGAGATTGGTGATTGTGAAATATATCAATCACACCAGGTGAAAATTTGATGGGAAGTTAGATGTGATCAATGGGGTTTTCTAAGATTGATCAATTGATTTCAGAGTTTGAAGTAATTAGCAATGGAAGACTGTTGTGCGTTGCTCAGCAGCACAGAGGGCACCCACACAGAGTTTCTGGTCAGCATTCCCTCCATTTTTTGGTATGGGATAAGGGAATAGGGGGTAAAGTATGTACAAGTTTGGCCTCCACCGCAAATGTGGGATCCATACCCCATGGATTCGAAGGGGTTATGGAAATAACGAGGTATGGCTTTCAAGGGGTTTGACTGGATATCTCTTGAGGATGTCACTGACCAGTCTATGTATATGTCATGTCTGTGATATGTATCTTGGCTCATAAACCATATGCACATTCCGAGCGCGTCTATCCCTTGACTTTCCATGCATCATCGTCCTACCCTACAAGCAACGCAAGCACTATCATATGGCCGAAGCAAAAGATATCGAGATCAAAGCACATAAGTAAGCTTCTGTCACTGCCATCTCTCATCTTGTCGGCCCTTGGTGATATGATATGGATACGGTGTCGCAAAGGCCTGATTATCTCGCTATTCAGGCTCGAATTTTACCTCTGATCACATCTCGGTTGACAGGCACGAGCTTTGAAAAAGATCAATCAAGATTCAAGACACTGAATGAGCAAGTTGGACAAGATGTAAAGGCACTGTTGCTAGGTGTGTGAATCTGTTTACTGAAATATATTCAGGAGACTTAATCGTATCGTTCTGTTGCAGAACACTACTCTCAAGGTTACAAATTTGTCATATGCAGTCAAATTGTTCAGAACTGTGGACAAGCTGGAAGGTTTGTGAAGAATTCTTGAACTCTCCTCAAGTGATGCCGAACTGAATTGATCAGCTGAGACCTCCTATTTTGTTTGGGCTAGAGCTGGATTAGTCTCGCACTGGGATGAGCCAAACGACGTGGTGTTGAAAGAACTCTGGATGAACGTGAGTCAATGATTACTTCTCTTTGCAGCTCAAAGGAGATCCAAACTTTGTATCGTTCTTTTGGTGCGATCGCATTCTCCATAGGATTCTATCGTGTTCACTCTCACTGCATTTATAATCCGGGTGGCATATTGAAAGAAAACTATCAGCCTCTCGCTTCGCGACCCTTGGTCAACTCGAGGACCGACGTTTCAAGGTAGATCGTGATTTAATCCCAGGGTTGATAGATTCGCTTAACTACACGATCGGTAATGCCCTAATGATCAAACGACCCGCACGAATGCAGAGATAGATTTTTCGAAGGATCTAACAAGGTTATCTTATCAATGACAGCCATCGCGGTTTCCTGCATAGATTATTCATGGTGCTTGGCGACCTAAGTCTCACCTACTCTCAAACTTATTTGATGATGAGGCTATGTAGTAGAATCTTGAATTGAACAAAATTGATTATAGGGCTACAGATTTAGTGGACTCATCGCACAGGTCAATGTGACAGACAAGCCAAAAAGATCATGATCTAGTTTGGTGAATGTAATATTTGGAATTATCTGCAACATGGTAACAGACATTGGCCTTTTGCATATATCTTCTCTGGTTGACCAACTAAAGACTCATCTTGGGAGCTGCTCTAGTGTCGGCTTCCATGGCTATATACAGAACAGGCTTGCCAGCCATTGATTTCTGGTGTCGTGGTCAATTCACAGCTTGACTGTTGGGTTGATAACTGCTGTATTTGTCACTGGACTTCTACACAAAACCGTCAAAATGACAAGGCCTCCATGACTCGTGCAATCTTGGCGCAACAGAGCGGACCAGCAGGTGCTATCTTTTTCTCAGAACGTTACCCTGTCTCTTATGAGCCGCTGAATATATGAGTTTTGGTAGTCCAGGAAGAAGTTTTCCCGTGCCGTCAGCCTGACAAATTGCAGCTTTCCCAAATGTTGAGTTTGTTTGCGAGCAATTTTCACACCCGTTGTAAGCACTCTGGATACGAAATTATACATAAGCCTCCCCTCTATCTTGCAACCCTAAACAGCAGACCCTCCTTGATGAATTATAAGATATTATCGCCAGTGATAACTTTCGTCACCCGGTGCCCTTTTTCGAAAGCTGAACAAACAAGGGAAGGAGCTGCAACTTATGTAAGGCGAGGATGGAAACTGGATGGATGAGGAGTCTCCCGTATTCTTGAAAACTGGCTTCTACAGGGGGTTGGAGTTGCAGTGCTGCGTGCCTAGCGATCCGGTGTTGCACTGGGATCTGTGCTGATGTCATTATATCACATCCGAAATAATTGTCGTGTAAGAAGCATCTTGAACCTCGAACACATTTTGACACATGTTCCGCTACTGATAAGGCGTAGAGACACCAGAAAATATTTCACTGGTAATGTAACGTGCTAAAGTTGATGTCTCTCCTTTTCCATTTTGGACACAAATATTAGATTTTGTAGGCCAACCGACCAGGGACCAACCATGGCGATTTGGGTTTTCTATTTGATTACTATAATCTATCTTATATTGTACTTTCGCGTAGCAACCTCATTGCTTCTAAAAGATCAAGATCTCACAATTCCCAGAGTCACCCCGGAAGTAGAAAACAAAAGTAAAACACTATTACTCAGCTGGTTTGGGGATCAAGATGTACCATGTGGCCCGGAACATGAAAGCCGTCTGGCCACTATTGAAGGGGAGCTCCTTGAGGTACTTGAGCAAAACGCGAATTCGAGAGACCACCGAACTCACACTTCTTTCCGAGATTTTCCGCTTCCTAGTTATTCCGCTGATCCTCCCATGGAATTAGAAGAATGCTTGCAACATCATTCACATATCACCCAACCATCAATCGCTCTACCAGGGACAACTACGCCAATTGGAATTTCAGCTGTCACGAATAGAGAGAAGATAAGCAGAGCTGAGATGCAGGAGAAAATATTGAGAGATGAAGTGGATGAAAAGGCAGAAGATGTAGACTTTCCGAATATTGAGCAGGTGTCCAACAAAAAACCTAGAACTGGCAATGACTCAAAGCATTCAGTAGCACCAAGCCCCTCATGTCAAAAAAACCTGCAAAAGCTGATTCACTTTGAAGGAAGGGACCATCTATCAGGAAGCTCGAGGATCTATTACAGATCAGTAATGGTTACACTCAGATGGCAATTTCAATTGGCTATGTGGCTCACACCTGGCCTTTCTGAAACCATTATATCAGTGATGGAAGCATTCAAAGAATCATCTAAAGCAAGGCAAGCAATGAGTCAAACACAGTCTTATGACTCACAGAAGATCATTCTGGCAATTGAGAAAATAAGGACCAATTTAGTCATGGGATTTCTGGGAGCTTTGCGGCTCATTCATTCTGGGAATCGGGATCTACTAGCACGGAAAGTGTTGATAGAAGATGGGTGGATTTTCTTACAGCACTTTCTGAATGACCAACTTTTGAAATTGCAAGAAGAGGTTATCTTTTTGACCCCCAAAACCAGGGGAAGAATCCATATCAAACACAACGACACTTTTGATATACTTTCACATACAATACAACTACCAGAAAGGTCACCAGTTGCAATAGAGATAATTATTGAGCTTATCAATACATGGTACCAAGTTACTGAACATCAGGCATCCTTGTCTCAAATCAATTTGAGCTATGATTCATTCCTTCAGAAATGTGAAGAAGCCTATCAACAACAGGGAGAAGGTAAATCACTCTGGAGACCATGGATCAGAGCCACTTCCAATGGATCCACACATCAGGGATACAGTCTTGAACAAGGGGTGAACAATGAAATTACAGGATATGATGAGATTGACTCAGCAAAAACATTTCCTCGCAGAATTGAGCAGATAGGAAATCTGATAATTGAGCAAAAATACACAGAATTTGCAGAAAAAATAAATGTTTTCTTCAAATCAATTTCCAAAGAGATACATAAACTTTATGCACACCAAAGTCTTGAAGAACAAAAATCCAAGGAGATCCCTAGCCACAACATTGTTTTAAGCAATGAAATGATAGACAAGGCAGTTCTTTCAGCTCAAAAAGACATCACACCATCATTTTTTGGAATAATCTTCCTCATGCAAAAAACCATAATAGATGATAAACTTTCAAAAATGATCTTTGAAAATGGATGGGAACACCTCAAAACATACTTTAATCAATGGTTGATTTTTTTCATAGACAACAAAAATAAAGCTATCTGGACAACCAAGGAGAGTAAAAGCAAAGGGTCTGAGTGGGCAAGTACAAAGAAGACAATAGCTCATCTGAGCAAGCTTGTTAGTGGAAGATGCAGGTCTACACATCTTATCTGGTATCTGGTGGAAGTATGGTATGAGGCAATTATCAGCACAGTAGAAAGTGAAAAGCATCAACTTTCAACCCATATTTTACCCCCTGACCATCAGCTTATCAAAAAGAGGTGTCACATCAGGTTTCAACTTGCAAGAATGACTTGATATTTATCAGTCTTGGTCAGAACTATGAATTAGGAATTCCTTCTGATCATGTTTCACAGAAAAATTGTGAAGTCCATAGATCAGTTCTCTTATATGGTAAGTAAGACCCCAATGAAGAATATGATGTCTAAAGAAAAAAAAAACCAAGGTCAAGTCATGCTAAAAGTTGTATAGTTCAAAGCTAGAATATCTTGGTAAGTAAAAGAATATTTTCACACATAAAAGCTACACACAGTATGCACACAGTATGACTGGTGTGGTAGACAATTCTGTGTATACAGGGATTAAGATATTATTTTCAAAGTGAGTTTCATACTTTTGAAAGAAAGATCCAGGTATGAACTAGTGGTGCTAAGGAGATGAGTGCCTCAGTGTAGATTTAAACCCACTCTTTGTAAGAGTATCAAAATAGTCATATGAGAGAATCTGAGTTGAAAGCTTTGAAAAAACAGTTCTTAGCTGACCCTGCAATATGAGGTACACTTTTGTGAACCATGGGAAATTCAATAAAGTATGATGCATAGTGGCCCACAAAATAACCTATGGAAGAGAAAGAACTTCAGTTTGTGAAAATTGACACTTTTTAAAGATACATGTTCACTGCTGAGCTTAGAAGAGTGAGATAAGATATATAGGTAGAATGCAGTCAAGATAAGTATTGAGAAACATCAGTTTAGATTCCTTTACACTCAGATTGCTTTTCATATTTTCCATACATTTGGCAATGTGTGGCACTGGCAGAACATTAAACTGGGTTTTGTCTTGATAAATCTACCTCATTGGACAAAGGAGATTACAATTTCAATATCAAGTTGATTAACAATCCCTTTGATGAGTGCATAGCTTGAGAGCCATATCCAGTCTCTATCATCACCATACAGCCATCAATCATGTATAGTGACAACCAGGTAAGGTGCAGTGCACACAATGCACAACATCCAAAGGAGTCTAGATGTAACTGATCTTGTTGTGTTGCTTCCTTTGTGAAAATTGTGGACAAAATCCCTGGATCTCACAAGATGCTAGCATCAAAGAGTATTCTTGCAAAAAAATCAATTCTATGAGCTAACACTTCTGCTATAGCTTTCCTTGGGGTTACCCTTGAATCCAAGAGGTGGAAATATGAAGAGATATAAAAGAGGATGGAAAATGACAGGAGGGCATGTCCTCTTTTGTTCTATATACTTTTGATCCTTCACAGACACCGGCTCACAGATGGGTAGAACTTTACTACACTTCCATTGTCCTATACCCATTGGTGCAGTATGAACCCTCCTCAATGTATCACTCCTCATCTTTTTTAATCAGAGCCTGCATCCAGCCATGGAGATTTTGAATTACTTTGAGGCTCTCTGCAATACCTGAGCTTGTTTTTGATTTAATCAGTGATATGATGGCATCTGAAATTGGTCTACACTCTTTTTGATCTCTCCGTATAGGCTTTTCTACCAGGGGTTCATACTTGATCATACTCCCAATGCCTCAGAGGTTTTTCTTTCTCATGAAGGACAGAGGGTGAAAGGAATCAAGTCGTCCCGTAGTCATTCGACGTGGGTAATGCCATCGCGTCCATCGCGGCCTCGGCGGATTCGTCAAGATACCATTGCACATGTTTTCAAAGAATTCTGGACGTGAGGAGAGAGGTGATTAGGATGCGGAACTGACTGAGGTTAGCGGGTAAATGGTGGTGCAGAGTCAAAACCGTGATGTCGAGCTTCGTGTTGAAGGGACATGACTTGGGACTCGGACTGGTCACCGCCAATGAAACCCTTCCTTGATTAGGGTTTGGTGCTTTTTTGCTCACCACATTTGTTGTATTGGATTTCGGAGCACATCGAACGTTCTTCAGCAAACCTGATGACCGTCTTTCGTCCATGTATAGATCTCCACGATGGTCAGGTAAGTCCTCTTACTCAGCTTACCTTGGATAAGAAAACTGATCCTCAATCGAACGAAGAATTTCTAGGTCAAGCAGATCGTCGGCGGTTCATTAGACTTGAATCGTCCTGATCAACTTCAAACCAATTTTTCTTCGTCGTCAGTTTTTGCCAGTTCACGCTATTCCGATGATTTAACGGGTTCTAAGCTCATTCTCATATCGGTGTACAGTCAGCCGGTAGAATATTACACCGAACTTTATCGAACCAATAATCTCACCGGAACTCATTTGATCAAGCTCGGACCTTCGAATGATGAAGCCGCCCTAAGAGCATTGGATTCTTGGAGAGGTCACATACAACTTGGAGGAGGAGTGGATCTTTCAAATGCTGAAAAATGGATTGATGCTGGGGCGGAGAAGGTCAGACGGATTCCGATAATCGGACTCATCTGGAGGGAATGACTAACACGTTCACTCATACTTCTCCTTGATTTAGATCATTGTCACCTCATTTTTATTTCCCGGTTGTAAGTTTTCAGAGGATCGACTCCGACAATTGAACGAACTAGTAGGAAAAAACAAGCTTGTGATTGATCTCAGGTAAACGATTTAAAATCTGTACTTGCACGTTTCTCGAACCGCGACAGCTCCTCGTGGCTAGCAGCATGGCTTTTGCGCTCAAGTCCCGTATAGTGCTACAAATCTATTTCGATGTAGGGTTTTTTCTCACTCTCCATGCGTTTGTATCTTCCAAAAACCAGTTGCAAAAAAAGGAATTCGACTTGGTTTGTTGCCTCAAACCAATGGAGGGACCTGACCGATACCGAAGTCAACGAAGGTTCGCGAACATCAATTCTATATGTTCTACTTTTACTTCAACATTTACATGAGTTAATAGTTTCCTCAAACGACCATAGCCACGTTACAAGATCTAAGCGAATCTTGTTCAGAATTTTTGATCCACGCTGCTGATCACGAAGGGCTTTGCAAAGGGATAGATGAAGACCTAGTCAAACGTAATTTATTTCACTTCGTCATGCGTTCATCAAACACTCATCCAGATTTGATTTGTTTCCAGGTCTTGGGGAATGGAGTCGGATCCCGGTAACTTATGCTGGCGGTGCAAAATCTGTAAGCGACTTAGATCTAGTGAAGGATCTATCGAATTCAAAGGTAGACTTGACTTTTGGCAGGTACGTCTTACTGTTTTTGATGTTCGCACACCAAAATACGTAGGCTAACACAACGTGTCTATGTCCACCACGCCTATTTGATCGCACTGATGCACTTCAGCTCACTAGATATATTTGGTGGTAACAAGGTGAAGTTCGAAGATGTAGTGAAATGGAACACCACAAACTCTTGATTTTCTATGATGGCGTGTCACATATGTCAATCAACTTGTCACCTACAGACCAGGAAATTTTCAATAACTTTGCACGTATCATTGTACATAGGTGTTTAAAAACATATCAACCTGATAGATCCATTGTGGTATGCTTTGGGCTGGGCTTGACATCTGGCGGAAGTGATAAATGTTCTAAAATATTCTGCCATGGCATTCGTGCAAAGATGACAAGTTCAGGTTTCAAACTGCTTCTGCTTCTTTGTTGGATACAACCAAAGTATTCAACTTGCTCTGATAACAAGGGCATCAAGAGTGGCAAATGTGGCTGCCAAGGGTTGAATCTGTTGTTTACATTGCTACATTACAATGAGGTCAGCTGAGAAGTTAAGATGACCTTGCATCACACCCACAAGCTACACACTTGCACTTCTCTAGACTGTACAGAATGGTTGTCTGTCAACTGTGTAGAAATTGTGTAATTTATTCAACTGCAATCAAATGAATGTGAGAAAGTTTTAATACAGAAAACTGGCTCAACATTTTCACTATGCCATTCACCTCAACAATTGAGATTGTATGTATATGATACAATTGTAGACTTAACCCTCAAACTGCAAATCTGAAGTTCTCCAAGGGACTTCAAGTTCAGTCTCCTTTTTGAATAGTTTTCTTGTATTTATTTTGACAAAGTTGGAAGTCACATTGGGAATGAGGGCAGAAGGAAGGGATTGAGATACCACATTCTTAGAACTAAATGGTGACACAGCTCCGTGTAACTTTATAAATGCTGAGAGGTATACCATGGTGTAGGCTGTGTAAAACCTACTTCAGGGATGTGAGGTTACTAACAATGTGGGGAATGTGGTGTCACATCTGTGAGGTGTGTCAGCACACCTCCCCCTCTGTAAAGTCCTTCACATGAAATGGGTTCCTGTCTCTGAAGATGTTGAATTGATTCATCTTTAATTGCGGATACAGTCTTGTGAATCCTGTGAAAAACAGTGCCTACAACTGTGCTAACTGTGAAATTTTAGTGGTCTTTGACATCATCAATACAAGGCTTCAGAGGATATATTTATTCAAACAGCTTGGTGTAATTACATTGAATTTAATATTCAAAGTCTTGATGTTGAAGTTCCTACCTGTAAACCACCGTGAAGCTTTGGTTTAGCTTTCAGGTAATCTTAAACTTGTCCCACACAGTTATATAATATAGTTTCTTTTTGGTGAGTGTCACCCATCCCACTTGCATCTGAGGAAGTATCAAGATTTTGGTTTATGTTACACTTGATATGACTTCTGCACAACAGATACTTCAAACAACTTTCTGAACATGATTCAGAATTGAAGCTTTGAAAAGAGTTATAAGATACATTACTGGTGATACTATGTGACAACCTCAAAATCTCTTCCATTTTATGTGATCAGCAATGCTAAAGCACAAAATCCAACTACACAAATATGGAAAATTTGGGTATATCATTTATACCATCTGCCTAATTCTTCCTTCATGGTCAAAATCTCATTATTCATAGAACCTCAATTACCTCAGAATCAGAAAACACAAATCCAACATCAACACCCAGTTTTCATCTGGAACTTATATCTCAAGCTGTTAACCTTCCATGAAAACAAGATCAATTATTAAGCCGCTTTTACAGGGTTGAATCAGAATCTGCTTGGGATGAGGAGACTTCCTGAAAGAAAAAGCTCAGACAAAAAGACATGATATCTCTGGTGTTGGAATTCAGCTTAGTCAAAGCTGTGGTGTTTGGTGAGGTCAACAGACTCAAAAATCAGTTTGCTTCTACTTAATCCTACCTGAGATATTAGTGTAATATATGTCTTGTCCTATCATCATTGTGCCACATGATCACAATGCTAAATATCTTTTTTTACAGTTGACCTTGGTAAACACTGTGTAAGTTTTCTGGTAGCACGTTGACGTGCACACACCAACAACAATTCATAGAGGGATGATAGATGATTTGAAGAGGTCTTTGTATTCAAAGACCCATTCCCTTTGTTCAGGTGCTCAGAAAGCAAGGTCAACAAAGGGGTGCTGAGATTGTCACTGAAATTCAACAAAACTATAGAAACCTTTCTTTGTTTGTTTTTTCAAATCTCTTTGTGTGTGCACATTGACTGGCTACCAGGGATTGTACATGGTGAAAGATCCACAACTAAATTCTTTCTTGCACCTGTCCAATCATGGCCTCATAGAAAACCCCATTTTATAGCCACTGGTTTTTAAGAAGAAATATTCAAAGCAAAAGTAGAGAAATCACCCACTGTGACTTCAGTGTGACACACAGCTTACTATGGTCAGTCTTAAATTCAATGTCTGGGGCCATATGCCTTCAATTTTGATGTGACAGGGATAGATTCCACTAAGATGTGAGGTGTTGTATGCGCATGACACTGCGGTAAATTAAGCCCAAAACCTCAACAAGCAAATTTGTGCCAGTGGTGTCCAAGTCTGCAACTTTCTCAATTGCGGATCTGCTTCATGTCTTGTTCACATCTTGTTCACAGGTTTACCTGGAGCTGTATTCTCCCTCTGTAAGTATAAGCAGACAGAAAAGATACATCACTCCAAAAAATGCTATTGCATATGTAATACACCCAGATGGAAGCCAGTTTGGCCCTAAGGGTGGATATCTTTTCTGTGTCTGCTTGTACAAGATCAAGTTCAAATTTGTGCCCTCTGAGCTCCTTTCTTTGTTGATTGATCATCTGGATCATAGACAAAGAACAAGACTTTCAACACACCTTTGGATAACAAGTACATTTTACTGTTCATAACTCTCAAACTTTGTCATAAACAGTCAGTGACCCAGTGTTGTTTGAAATTGTTGGTGAGCAAACTAAATGGGGGTAACAGGACAATGGTTCTTGGGACATGGTGAAAGCACTCAGATGAAACCCAGGAAGAAAGACCAGAATAATAACAAGGCAGATGCCTGAGGACTTACAAGGGACTTTATGTTGTATGTACTACATATGATAACACATTAAAATTGGTATAGCAGAGGGTAGCTCAAGCGAAACCTGCAGACTTAATGTGAACAAGTGGTGAACAAGATCCAGCAATTGAGAAAAGTTGTGGGTCTGGACACCACAACTTTGCTCAATTGGGTTTTGGACCTAATCATTCCTGTGGTGTGAAAACCTGTGGTTTTTACTTTCTTCCTCTTTTGATCATCCTTTTGTGTGTTATTATTGTAAGCCTCCATAAAGTGAGAAGCATAATATAATGAAAACTTTTCACAATATCATCTCCAGACCAAGTGGATTCAGTGTACAACAGGCACTTTGACAGTATCACCCTCCCTTTGAAGTAGAAAGAGGAGCAGTGTGTAAATCAATCCAATCACCCTAATGAAGATACTTGGATCATTAGGATACAGGTCACTCATTTCTTGAGGATGCTTCACATCTTAAAAATGGCAATCAAAGTGTGACCATACAAGTTCACTGTAGTCTGGTGATCAACCAACTCCAATCAGGGGCTTGCACCTTGCACAGACCCTCAACTTCGCTGCCCAGGATGCTCGGCATTTGGCGTCGAGTATGCACGCACCTGTTGCGTCGCACCACGGCTTGCGCTCGCGGCAGGTTAGGTTTCGATTTTCAGCATCTTCAACTTCCTGAGATTGCATTTCGACCGGCTGGGTTCAATAAAATTTCTCAAGCTTCTCAACAAAAAGAAAGAAATCAAGTAATCTGATCGAGAATGAATCAACCAACAAGACGACTCATAAAAACTTTAATCTCAAACAACAATTTAAATCCTTCAAGATTAGGTATCAGAAGTTTACATCAAGTACCACCTACTTCAAGTTTACCTTTTAATGTAGAAACCGGTTTATTACCATTCTTATCATCGAAAACTTTGAAAACTTTATCAATCGATTGGCAAACTGGATTATTAGACAGGCTAAATCAACATCTTCAAGGTAATCAATGTTGTCTCTATATCCTAAGTGATTATTCAATGTGAAAGGCTGATTTTTTTTTAAAAAAATGCAAACCAAAACAGGAAGTGATGCAGAACATTTATCTTTATTTGATTCGATCATACATCTTGCTAAAGATCGTACACAAGTTCAAGCTTTTAATTTAGCTTCAGAAGCTCTCAATAATTATTTTTTTCTCAATGGCCTTGTAAGTCATGTACACTCATATAACATCTTCCAATTGATCGAACTTGTATGATACACTCAGCTGATCAATCCTGTTTGAATTACTCTTGGATTCGTTTTTGTAGAAGAAAGCTTCAACGGATGTGAATCAGTCCAATCGACCAACTGACGGTTCACTTCTTTCTCGTGCTATTGATGATACCTATGGATCTTACACTCAATTTGTTTCTTACTTCTCAAGCGCTGCCAATGGAATGGCCAGCTCTGTTAGTCTATTCTTTTTACTGATTTTCAATAACTGATTTGTATTCAATACTCATGTATAATCATTCTTAGGGATACCTCTGGCTCGTATGCGATCAAGATGGTTTACTAGGAATCTGTCCTACATTTGCAAGTGGTACAATTCTTGTACAAAATCGACAACAAAGAGGAGACTGGCCATTACAACTTGGAAGTGTTCAACCAAACCAATCTACAGCTTCATCATCCACTTCAAGCAAACCAATTCCGCCCAGTCCAGCTCCATTTACAAGATCTTTCTCTACCTCAACTCAAACCCAAGAAGATCTTACTAGGAATCCTACCACTTCAAGCTCTTCTTTACCATCTTTCAATAATTCATTATTCTCAAATCCGATTCCACTTTCAACACCCAACCGATCGATCACAAGAAAAACCACCGAACCAAGTGATCGATTTAATCAACTTCATCCAATCTTTACATTACCTATTACTGAGCGAGCTTACTTAATCGATCATGGGGTTTGGGGTAAAGAAACTTATTTGAAAAGTTTTTGGGATGTCATTGATTGGAAAAAGTGTGAAAAGGCTTATGAAGCTAGATGTGATATTAAAAGTCATGAAGGTAAAAGGTGGTAAGGATGGAAATAAGATTTACAAGCGAAAACGTTCTTCTTGGAAAGTGTTTTTGACATTCTATATGAAATCTCACTCTAAGAAGATATATACCGTACTTTTTTGGGGGCTCGTGTATCTTCTGTAGTCAAAAATAGAAATCTTTTTGATTCTTATGGAAATGAAGGCAATAAATAAGGAAAATTCTCGAGAAAGTCAGCCTAACCACACAAAACTGATCCTTGTTGACCATCGATGAAATTATATCCTTGTTTACCATCCTATCCATTCGTTTGTGATGCCTATACTATAAGTTGATGGATCCAGCAAAAAGAAATTGTTTTTCGCAAAAGAAGGGAAAATTGAGAAAAACTTGTTCACCAGTTTAAAACACTTGGGATAAAAGTTCAATTGTGACTTCATGAAATAAGGCACCCGGCTCTGAAAATTCCGGATTGTTCGGAGGTACCAAAGCACAGGTTAAGAAATCACCAGGAAGACAGACACTGCTTTTACCCATTTCATGGAGGTCACAACAAAGGAAACGTATAATAAGGAGTATGAACAGTTTTTGAAAGGCAGCCTTCATCCCAAGATTGATTGTGTCACCACTTCAGAACAGCGTGAAATGCAAAAGATTTCAGACAAGGTTAAGAGTATCTATCATGAAGAGAAAAGGCTCAATACTTTATGTTCTCATGAGGATATATAAATCACATTTTACAGATTCTAAACTTATTTCCTAGATTTTCCCAGCAGAGAATTAATCCCAATCATTCACATCAGTCAATTGTAAAAGCTTTTCCACGGTTTATCTCACTCACTGTACCTTTAACAAGAAAGAGAATACTTTTTTCTGATCATCAAACATAACGATCACTTGTACAGTCATCTTCACTCCTCTTACATCAAATTAAGAAATCATCATACGTAGCCTGTTTTCAAGCTTTTCTCCTTATTATGAGATTAATTTTGTTTTCTCCTATAATTTTTGTCAAGTTTTTCTTTCAAGTTTTATTTTAACCTCATTCATCTGTTTTATTATCAACCATTGTGGTGTTCAAGAATAATCCTTGGTTGATTATATTTTTGTAAAAGAAATATTTCAAAATCAGGATCATTTAATAATTTCGTTAAACATTGGAGAACCTCAATGAAAGATACGTGTTTTGACTTTAAAGTGAGTTTTCTTGTACGCATAATTCCACAGGGATATATCAAGATGAAGAGACACGTATCAGTGTAAAAATCAACTTATTTATGTGTTGATCAAGACTTCAAGGAAGTAAAGGGGATTTAGTTCGTTCTTACAAGTTGCATGAGGACAATGATAAGATTGTCAAGAATGAGTAAAAGAAGAATACAAGATGCGAAAAAAAACAAAAGTTATTCTAGATCAGATACATGAGTTAGGCATGAGCACACATGAAAGTTTGTGTTATTTTCAAATTGATCTAATTGAGTTGTGAAGATGAAGATGTGAAATATCCTAGCCAAACTTGATTTCAATCGAGTTGATTTGTCGATCAAGATCAAAGACTTCAAAAAGAGCTTTGCTATGATGATGATGATGATGATGATGATGATGATGAGACACCAAGTGATTCAAGTTGATCTTTCTTCCATTTCTTTAACTCAGTTTCAGTAGCTATAATTCCTCTTTTACCTAAATCTATAAATCATCCAAAGAAAAAAAAAAGTTGATCAATCAATCAATCAAATCTTAATCAAACAATCAGGATTCTCTAAAACCTATACAAACCTTCTCGAGCTTGTCTACGCATTAAATCATCTGTCTTTCGAACAAACCGTTCATGTCGAAGTAAATAATGATCCGCCCAAATGACCATTCCACCCATAGCCGCTATAAACATGTACAACATCGATCAAGCAAAGTGTGTAAATCAAGATATGTTCCTATATAAGAAACACATTCTCATTTGAATCGAAGATTTTGTGATTGTAACGTGCCAGATGAAACTAAGAAGCCTTTGAAGGCTAAAGTTTGTCGACGGAAAAAAGGCCAATAGATATGAGCCATACCACAGAGAGCGATACTATAAGCTGTCCATCGTAAAGCGCCCTTTGATCGTAAACTTATTCAGTCAATCTCTTTAGTCATTAAATTCTTGGATCACATTATGAACAACTTAACATACTTCGCGAGCTCCTTTTAATTGTAACTACCAATCCAACGTCATACGATAATCAGTCACTGTTCATATCTCATCAAGCTAATCAAACTTTACAGGTTACCTCATAGGCTGTTGTGGTATCCTGTTCTCGAGTAGAAAGTAATCGTTGTGCCCATATTGGTGGTCTTGAACTGATTGATGGGTTAGAAGAATCTTGAGTTGATGAACTTGACATCTTTGAGAAAAATGGTAAAACTCGAATGATAAAACTCTCAAACCAAAATTGTGAAGGCGGAAAGGACCGCATTTTGATATTACGTCACTCGGACGACAATTTCAACTCCTTTTTGTATACTCTGTAACAGACCGCATCACAGCTTTGGGCAGTGGAACAGATCACACACAAGTTTCAAGTTTACAACCTCTATATTCAAAATGACTCTAAAGAACCACAATAAGAGTCATAAACAAATATGAAAAAGATGATAAAGCAAAACCCCCCCCAGTGCCACCACAAAAAAACCCACCACATCAAAGTTAATCAAAGTTTCAAATCAGATATCTGCAATAATACTTTTCCAGACAAAAGAAACGTATTTAAATTCTATGAAAGAATAAAAAAATGATTAATTACATTTAGATATCTTCATTTTTTTCATACACGTTTGATTTTTTTTTTGATATAAAAAAGTCCAAAAAAAGAATTCAATCTTCATTTAAAATCAACAGACACACACACTGACACATATAGATATTTTAATGTACAATCACTTATTGATAACATATTTTTCTTGGTAAAAAAACTCAACACTAAAAGATATTTTTTAAAAAAAGGAATAACTAGTATTTATCATCATCATCAAACAAACAAACAAAAAAAGAAAACTTGATTTTGGAACACTCCATTTTTTATATGTTTTTACAAACCTTTAAATTTTAATAAACCATTTCTTGATCCTTTCAAATACATCAAAAAACAATCATAAGAACTTCAATTCACACACCAACTCCATTTTAAACCAATTCCCATCCCCTCACACATCCGCTTCCAAAGAAAGCTTATTTCCCAACCAATCAATCCAAATCACCCACTAACCTTCCTAACCCTAACCAAATCCTTCCAAAGCGAATGATCCTTAACACCAGTCTCATTCCTACCAAGCTCCTCCACACCCAATCCGAGATCGATAGCATGACCATCTTCCCACAAGATCTGATCCAAAATCGGAGTCAACAAACCAAAGATATGTAAATAATTCCTAACAGTATTAAATGAAAATACGTTTCCAACTTCAAACCAAATCAAGATCTTTAAAATACTGGTAGGTAAACTAAGCGTAGATCTTAAAGTATAGAATTCTAGATATTTTCGAAAATTGCCTTCGATCACTTCTTTGGCGTAACTTGTTAATGATGGGTAACTTGAATGGTCTTTTAGTCTTGAAATAAATCGATTTGGGTGGATCGTTTGACCTATGAATCAAAGAGATGGATTGTAAGATAAATGGATATTATGAGAGATTTCTTTAACACACCTTTACTGTTGTGTCTAAGACTATCATTTATCAATTCCATATTCTTCTTCAAATAGTCAACTGAAACGATCTTATCCAACTCATCTTGATTTAAAAGTGGTAGATTATTAGGTCGATAATTCGGATTAAATTCAACTTTCACAAGATAATCAAATCGATCTTCAGTTATTCCAATTCTTTGAATTCTAGAAGATCTAGAAACACGAGGTTTAGAATGAAGTTTGTTTTTAGTAGCTTTCACACTCATGAAAGCTGGTAAAGCAGTAGAAGTATGTGGTGTATAATCTACATCAGATGAACCAGATGAAGAAGAACTACTACTATCTGAAAATGTAGTTTCAAGTTTATCATGGTGAGGATGATTAGAAGTAGATGGTTCTGGATTCGATTTCCGTCGTTTTTGTCTTCCTTCTGATCTTGGTGTCGAAAGTGCTGGTCCAGATGATCCATTCTCAGATTCCGAAATTAAATTAATCGTTTGATTCTTTTCGTTTCGATTTGATTGATCAGGTTTTGATTGATGATCATTTAAATAAGTGATTGGTGATGATGTATTCGAGGTAGGTGGAAGAAAATTTTCTAAAGGTTCATCATGATCTGGAAAGATATCGTTGAGATTTGGTAATTGGTTTTGCAGATTGAGTGATGAGGTTGATTGGTGAGGTTGAGATTCGATTAAAGGAAATGATGGAAGATTTCTAAAAGGATGAAAAGCTCTATGAATCAAACTGGTTTGATGATTTTCATTTTCATCAACTTGAGTAGAGGTAATTAACTGAGAATCAGAACCCAGTGAATTGGAATTCAATCTATGATGATCAGGATCCAAATCCTTATCACCCAATTGATCGACATCCTTCTCATCCAAAAAAGTGATCATCTTTCCCTCAATCCTAACTCGTATAGTCTTATCATCAATTAATTCTTGAAGTAAATCTTGTGCTACAGAAGTAGAAGTTTTGAATCCTAAAGTGATAGGTAAATCAATCAAAGCTAATGGAGATTCAACGGATTTAGATCTAACCCAAAGATTATGTAACCTTAAACTTTTCAACAAAACTCCTTTTTCAATCAATCTTCGAGTTAAACATTGAGGATGATTAGGTAAATCTAAAATCATTTCTTCATTTGAAAAGTTTTCCAAGATTTCATAAAATGGTAAACTAGTTTTCAATTTGATGATCTGATTAAATTGTTTAATTTTTTCATACCTTTTCTTACATGGATTAGAAAGTATTAAAGAAATTATGTATAAATCTAAATAAATATCTTTGTTGGTTTGATTATTTTGAGAAAGAAGTGTGTATAAGTTTTTGGATGCTGATTCGAATTTAGCTTGATGAAAATCTCTTCTGGTACTTAGAAACAAAAGTTCAGTGTTAAGAGTCTAATGATGATCAAAAAGAGAAAATCGTTGATGAATTTTGAGATCATCTTAAAAAGTTGTACCAATCTGATTTGTAATCCAAAAAAACTCACATTATCATGTTTGAATGTCACTTCAGCTTCAATTTGATCAATATAATGAGTAGCCCAATCGATTTTATCTAACAATAAATGAGCATGTGCCAATTGAAACCTAAGACAAGTTTGAATTTCCCTAAACCCCCAAAAAAAAGAGAACCAAAAGTTAGAAGAAAAAAAAGAGAACCAAAAGTTAGAAGAGATGTGATCCATGAATTTAAATCAAATTCATCAAACTCACGGTGGAGGTAATTGATTTAAAAAATTAACCAAACCCGTGATCCTTAAAGCTTGAACTTCAAACTTATAAAGCAATTGAAGAGCAAGGTAAGTGAACCAAAGTGGAAAATCTGTAGCAATAAAGATCTTCTCAAGTTCATCTGGAAAATAATTCAAAGAGTTTTTAAAGAGTAGTGCATTAGCACTTAAACTATCTAGAATGGTTTGATGAGATGATGATTGATTGATTGAACTTTCTTGTAAGTGATGAATGATGTTTTCTAAATAATCACTCAGATTGACTGATTTTAAATCTGTTTCTGTTTCTGTTTCATTTGTTTTGATTAATGATTTAGTTTTTAATAGTAATTTGAATTGAGTTGATAATCGATGACCTTCTTTACCACATTTTTCTAAAAAGTTAATGGACCATTCTAATCCTCTAGTCTTCAGTTTATCTTCAAATGATTCTGACATTGCTTAATCGATTTGTTTCATGAATTGTTTTCTTGTGTACAAGTTGAGAGTTGATTGAATGATGACTTGAATCAAAAGTGATATCGATCGAGATGAAAATCAAAAGTTTGAGTGATATGTGATGACTGTTCGATCAAAACTTAAAAGCTCAGTGCTTGTCTAGATTGACAAAGCCCCGCTGACCGCGCAGAGAGGGCTTTGTTGTTGTTGTTTGGATTTTTCTGATTAAACTTTGAACAAAACTGTGGAAATTTGATCACAGTCCTTCGCTCTATCACCATCATCATCTCAGCTACTTATATCTCTATTCACCTCTTCTCTGTTAAACCATCTATGTAGCGTCACTCCACTTCATCCGCTACTCAAGCTGTCTGAGCGAAATACAAAGAACCTACAACCCTTTCATGGTGTATATGTATGATGTTTTACTTCAGTTTAAAATCAATTTCACAATCACTTTCAATGATCTTTTAGTCTCTCATAGCGCGCATGAGGGCCTGCCCGTCTGCCGTCGGGCTAGCGCAGGACCGTCTGTGTAGGCCGACAAAACACATCTGAGGTGTATTTGGTTACAATTTCATTTTCCGGGGTGCTGTTGTTTGTAGCACCACTTTGATGAGCACTTTAGGTGAGTTGATTGATTTCAATCAGTCGTCTAAGATTGATATTTACCAATCACCCAATATTGCTCTCTCTCGGTTATAGAAACTTATCACAGCCGGTATCAAGATACATATATATAATTATCAAAAGGTGAGCAATCTGTTTGATTCTTTAAACCATTTCTGGTGAATTGAATTGTAAAAACACAAAGATCGATTTGATGGTTTAATTTGAATGAGTATTTAAACTTCTGATTGATTCGGATTTCTTTCTTTCTAAAATAAAGTCATTTTGTTTTTTTCATTTATCTTTACATACTTTTCAAGCATTCGAAAATCAAAATCAGAATCAAACCAAATTAATCATTTCAATGGGTTCTTATTATAGGAAATCTATCAGTTAATCCATTTTCCTTTTTGATCATTACATACAACTTTTTACTTTGGCATAGATTTCCAACCCTAAAATCCAAAAAAAAACCATCCAAATTTAAACAAACTGATTTTTTGACGGTTTTTTTGTTTTTTTGGTTTTTAAAATAGCAATCGATATACTCTTCACAGTAGCCAATCGAACATTCCTTTCCCCATTTTTTTCCCTATGGATCCCGATCATAGCAAGTCTACAAAAAACCTCATCCGCCTCCGATCAATTCTATCAATCCTCAATTTATTTTTTAATAATTGTTTCAATTAGATGGTTATTGAATTATTCTTCTTTAGCTTGGTTAAATAAAACTTGGAGAATTGGTTGGGGTGATAGGATCGATTGGGATCATCAGATTGTTTTGGTGACAGGTGGTTCGGATGGGTTGGGTAGAGTGTTGGTCGAAACTTTGGATCTTAAGAATATTACGCTCGTTGTTTTGGATCTTAAACCTTTTACTACTAATCCATCGGAATCAGGTTTGGTTCTTTTTGGTTTCGAATTTACTGGGTTTTTTAAATTATTGCTTATTAAGATTGGTTTTCTTTTTCTTTTTTTTTGTAGATGTTCATTACTATCAGTGTGATGTATCGGATCCGAAAGCTGTAGAAGCTGTAGCCGATCGAATCAAAGCCGAAGTAGGAGATCCAACGATCATCATCAATAATGCTGGAGTAGTAAATGGAAAACTAATTGTCGATCTTAATCCAAATGAAGTTCAGAGGTTTGTTACTTCTTTTTGATCATCAAATCTTACTTAGAATCGTCACTGATGACCGCGACGTACCTCTTGACCATTTTGTAGGAGTTTTGGAGTGAATGTGATGTCACATTTTTACCTTTTGAAGGCTTTCTTACCCAAGATGATCGAACTAAAACAAGGACATATAGTCAGTACGCTTTCTATCCTGAAACCTGATCTGATCACTGTACTCAATCTACTTTTACTTCCTACTCGGTCTTGTTATCTTAGGTTACTGTAGCTTCAGTCTTGGGTACTATAGGTGTCTGTCAAGCTTCAGATTATTGTGCTTCAAAAGCTGCTTGTTCAAGTTTACATGATTCTTTAAGACTCGAACTCGATCATAGGTTCGTCATTCTCTTCATCACCTCTGGGGGATCTTTCTTGATCATCCAATGAACAGAAAAATTGTAACATGAACTTTAAAAAAATAGACATCAATGTTCAGGAGTTCGTACGACTTTAGTAAGTCCAGGTAGATTAGAAACCAAAATGTTTGGAGCGCGTAAGTTTATTAAACCATTCAAAGCTTACCAACCATTTAAGATTCGTTTCCAAACTGATGAAATCCTTTAAAAACGTTTGATTAAGAAAGTCAGACCCCAAAACCGATTTTTGTTCCCCCAAGTAGCACCTCATGATCTTGCCAAACTGATCATCCAAACCTTGGATTCAAATGAAGGCAAAGAGATTTGGGTACCTGTTTATTCTAAGTTGACTTGGGTCTTTAAAGGGTTTCCGTCTTGGGCGAAAGATTTGGCTCATTGGTTTGCTGGATCGAATGAAGCTATGATGGATTTTCATCCTTGAGAAATAGAAATCGGTTTGAGGAACGGTCGGCTTGCGTTTGGTTGGTTTCTTCGGTTTGGGAGCTACTTTTTTACCGTTCGAAGTTTGGGTGTGTGTGTGTGGGTTTGTGGATATATCTTTTTAGTTTATTTAAGAAAGTAGGATGGGTGCATATGTGGATCATGAGGTATACATCGTTGCATTATATTGTTGAATTGTTGGAAAACACAATGGGTTTAGCATTGAAATTTGTGACAGAAAATTTATGGCTTTTTGAGCAGAGACACCTTTGAAGATTTCAAGTTTTTTTGTTTGGGTGATTCTCAAAAGAAAGTTGATGATGTATACTATGAATTTGAAGGAAAGTTTGAATCCAATCATCAAAATGAAATCTTTGAGTCCTGATCATTAAAGAATTCTAGGTGATTAAAATGTGTGGCCATACATCCATTTTGACAGTGATGGATTGATGGATTGATTGATTGGTTTTTTGAAAATTTGTATTGCTGCACTATTGGTCAAAACTAATTTGAAAATTTGTTTTTATAGGGTTTTGTACCTCTTTATTTATTCTCAAAACTTGCTAGACAAATTAAACTTGATCACCCAAAAGAAAACTAGGATTTGCTACATGATGATGCACTTTTTGAAAAAAAATGTACAGTATAAAAACTCAAGTGTCAGGTTGACATGCTCACACAAAAGAAATCTCATAGAGAGTGGATACAAGCTTCAGAAGATCTTAAGCACCAATGCCATGAATAGACAGCCCTTCTTGAGCTCCAGGTGGTGAGACTGTTAGACATAGGAAGTCTGATATCCTTTCCTGAGATTAAAGGGGTGCTGGAATTTCACCAAAGTCTGAGAAAGAAACTGAATAAAACTTTTTTCAGTTTTTCCCAAACCTCACCCTTTCCGCCTGAGGTGCTCTCAACGACAAGAGCAAACCAAGAATTTCATTTGCGTGATGATTACGCTCAAGTTTCATCAGGGTGATGTTCATTTACCGCGTCCCTTTATCTCATCAGAGTACAGTTTTCCTTCAAATGCCTTTCACATCCTTCCTTTGTCTTGGTGAGTCAGTAGAGTGTATAGCCTGACTAGAAGGTACGTACAAGTCCTAGTCTCCAGTTATCAAGTAAATTCGTTTGATATAACAATAAATCATTAATCAAAGTTGGTGTTCTGAATCCCCAGCAAACTACATCATGCCGGCACAGCCTCAACAAAAAAATCGTCACATCTGGAAACAAGGATCTCCCCCCACCTCAATCAAGTCTTTAAATGCCTCTGTCGCCGGCACTATACCATTAGCTAATGCCGCGATCAGTCGCTCTTTAGCTGCATTCACTCGGAAATTACTTGGTGTTCACAAGTTCAATAAAACCTATCCAATGGCCCCTACCCCCGAAGAACTTCAGCAACTACCTCAGCTCACCCAGGATGAAATTAGGCTAGATCAATTAGTATTCACATCAGATCTTACTTCCGCTACAGCCACTTCAAACAATAAAGATATGATAGAAATTGTCAACAAATTTATGGCTGAGCTTCAAAAGTACAACATACATCGATTCACCTTTGCATGGGATCTTCCAGACAGTCATCACTGGAATCATACAATGGCTGTGTTTGTGGCTAAACACTGGCGCTATGAACAGCGGCGGGGAGCCTTCAAGCATTACGGGATCAATCAATCACACAATACCGAGTCCAATTGTATCTCTTTAATACTTTGCTGGGTACGTGGACAATCTCAGGATATACGATTAAATTGTGGGGAAGCTGAAAAGCTTATAAATGTTGAGCGTGCGCAAAAGAGAAGAGTGGTCAGTTCTGAGTTTACAGTATTTGTCTGTAGTCCTAGGAGAGTGTGCTGATTTTATCTTACCGATGATATAGTTATTTGAATATTGCCAGGACACGGTCAAGCGGCATCTCCAAGTTGATCCTCTCCTAATCATTCCCAATGCTGACTGCTGCTCGGACACTGAATGGTACCCAGATCAGGTGAAATTCAAGAGGATCGGTTTGAAGTGGCGAAGTCAACAGTATGAAGGTATCATTTGTCAAATAGATGGTCTATCGTTCAGCTACAAATCAAGTGTTGATACTCCAGCTCTTGCAATGAATTGTTTTGATCAATGTCGCATTCCAGGAACCTCCATCAATCCAAAGGCTGCAGTATGTTGTGGTCTTCCCGAGAACTGTTACAACACAGTCTTTCTTGCTGGTCTCACGTACAAACAGAGGGAATCCTTAAACATGAAACCTGTTATAGATTTAGATGCACTCTCTGAAGAAATTAAAAATCTTGTAGTGTTGTTGAAATAGTTGTGTATTTTATATTTATGTTTCATTCTCAGCTACATACCTTTTCCTTATTCTTATTTATCTTATTGTGTATATAATTCAAATCTTTGAAGTTTTTGGTATGCACAAAGTCTGCCAATTACTCTCATGCTTCAATTGTTTCCACTCAAAGCTGTCACTTGAGACACTCAAAAGGGAATACATACAGTGGAAGCCAAGCTCATCCCAAATATGGTACACAAGACTGACTAGCATGTATTACAGTCTTTTGAGTCACAGCAGATTGGGATACTTTCCTTTCTGGTAAGCTACAAATCTTTCAACAAAGTTTTGAGAGATTGTTTGTACAAAATAAGAAAAAAAAGAGTTACATGTATGTATTTATAGATCATTTCAAACTAATCATCACCAGATCTAAATGCTTCATCACAAATTCCCTGATCCAAAGCAAGATATCCAATTTAGCATGAATCATGTGAGGGTATATATTTGAAAGGAAACTTACCATGCTTCTCAGTGAGACTATTGATACTGTTGGATGGGAGATATTGTATGTATTTGGGTGATTCACTCGTACAGCAACATGTCCAAACATTTGATCAAGTGGAACACATTTGACCTCTTGATGTGAATGATACATAACCGTAGCTTTCAAATATGGCAGGGAGCGGAAGGGGTTATGTGATTCATTGCGTCCTTGAAGAGGGGTGAAAGGTCTAACAATGAAAAAGGGAGACTTATGACCAATCACACAGAAGATTCCATTGATGTACCCAAAGTTCACTTGTCCACCCATTTCAAATTGTACATAACTGTTACCTTGATGTTTTGAATATTGAGCAAAGTTTTTTCCTCCATGTTCCCACTGAACAGTTGATTCAAATTTTGAAGTGTCAGAGATTGTGAAATCCGTCCGGCCTGATACTGCCGCTTGAAGGGCTGTCAAGACTTCATCGGAAGGAGCAACGAGTTTCCATTTAGTCTGAGTTGAATGTGAGAGTGATTCAACACCAATGGAAGCACGGTATTCTTTGGAAGTATTCGTAAGAACATGTTTGAATAATACATGCTGAGTGTGAGCATTGATTGATGTCTTTCCAACAACACCTGTTCGATTCAGAAAGAAGGAGAATATGTTGAATGATGAGAGTATAAGTTGAAATATAAATGAACAAACATAACACATACCTTTACGTGAGTTTTTAGGTGCCAAAACAAGAGTTCCTATCATTCGCTCCCCAGCCCAAGCTGCAATGTAAGATGGAGAGCCAAACAGTTCACATTGCTTGGTCAGATGCTGTGCATAGTGAAGGTTGGGCCTTGACTTATATTGGGCCACACAGATTGCAAATGTTGTCGGTACTGAAGTAGGATGCTGTCAAGATTTTTAAGGTCTTCAGGTTTTAGCACTTGTGAAAGTGCTATGTTGATGACTTGAGTCGCTAAAGTGATACCCTGATAGATCTTCCAAGACAATGAATCACGATCAGAGTTTTGATGATACGGTGTAGTATTTAAAGCTCAACAAGAGCTTTACAACACCTAAGAAGGGATAATCTACTACGTGTAATGTAGTAGAAGTTGCCTAAAGACTGCCTTCTTCAAAGAAACCAGCACAAGGGCACTTGCTGACCACTTTGTGATAACAGAGAAAAAGATAAAGGCACCAGAGAAATAAAGCAATACTGTTGTGTAGTATTATTCCCAGTTTTTAAGCGCAAAAAAGTCCACACACTATGTTATTACTAGCAATACTGTTGTTGAGTATTATTCCCAATTTGACTTATAGTCTTTAACACACATAAATAAATTTCTCCTTGCTTTGAAGGGGCGGATTTAAGTGATCTTAGTACAAATATAGTAAATAAATGATGATTTATAACACTACAACAAAGGTATAAGATGCAGAAAGGGGAACAACAATCCCAAAATCATCAAAGAGTACTTATATCCACATGTAACAAACTCTACAATAGTCAACAGCCTTACAAACCAGTCAAATCCGCCTAAATAACCCTAAAAACCATGTAATGACGCAATGTAATGATCTTGTTACTAATGTATGATGTAATTTTCACAGCGAAAAGTGATCAATGACGCAATTATTTAATGTACAGCACTGCTTAAGATGAATACAGGTGATTTTTTCCTTGTAAACTAGCTGCAAACCAATTTTTGAGATTACGAATTTTTTCAGAAGTGGGCAATTTTGATCTACTATAGTGCATCTTGTAGCCCTCGTGATACTGATCATTTATGACACCCATATGACCTATTTCTGATGAGTGATGAGTAAGATATTGAGCTGTGAAGTTAAGGTTTTTGGTGTTACATGTTGACTTGTGACTGTAAATTCGAAATTCACACCAATTTCTTATTTGCCTTATAACTTTTTGCATGCACCTCCGTGACTAATGATTTAAAGGCTGTACATTATGTAATCCACTCTTCTGCGTTGAATGAGATATCTATCAACTCAATCTGACGTCATTTGACATATGTAAGTAGCTGAAAACCTTCATTTTCCATGAAATTCACCCATTTTCTTCACTTTTCACAGCTGCTACTCTCTTTTTCTTGCTCATGTAATATGACATCATCTTCTATAACCTTAAAAATCCCAGAAAATCCTCTTGGCAACCTTAATTTCCACTACTCCCACCATTACATATGTAAACTACACGCATAATCCTTGTTTACCAACTTCAAAAAAGTACCTTTCTGCTAATAACTTCTGTTTTCCCTTATCAACCTTGAAGATTGCAATTGTTACTGTATAATAAAGTCTTGTTCTTTGATATTCTAACCTTATAAAACCCATAACTCAATTATAAATAACCTAAAAACCATTTTCCAACTTTTACACCTATATTTTCGAGTTTTTCTTATGTTTTTTTCTCTTTCTTTTTGTAATAACTTTGTTAATAGTTTATACTTATCAAAATAAGTTTGTTTTAAATGATAAAATGATGTAAATATTAGACTATATGTAATATAATTGATGTAATTCAAAATTTGATTTTTTTGATTTTTTGATTGGTCTCATAGATTGATTACCACAACGTTTAGGCCACGTATCAATGAAAAGAATTAAAGAATTATTCAAGAATTCTGCTGAGTATGGACTGCCTGAACTTAAACATTCAGATGTGACATGTGAGGACTGTCTTAAGTGTAAGAGTCAAAGAAGAAGAACCCTTGGCAGCACTAACCGTGAGCCGCAAGTGCTTGAGGTACTGGTAACTGATGTGACTGGTCCTTTCACTCTGTGTCTGACTGGAGAACAATTAATGGTAACCTTCAGAGATGTTGTCACAGTGCCCGTGAAGGCCGCCCTAGACGTTGGGGGCGCTCTGCACGGGCACTGTGTGTGTCTACGTACTTGGAGATATGTATCATCAAACATAACTCGGAAGTCCATCAATGCCTGATTCACGTCATCAAAAAGTGGGAAAGGGAGACTGGACTCAAGATCAAAACTGTCTGATCGGATCGGGGAGGTGAGTACATCAGCTCAAGCCTTGACAAATGGTTGAAGGAGGCCGGGATTACGCACAAATTTTCGAACCCGTATGACCCTGAACAAAACGGGAATGCCAAACAATTGAACAGAGCACTTGGGGAGATGGCGAGAACCTTGTTGGCGTCAAGCAAACTCTCCAATAAGTTCTGGAATTTTGCCTACCTGACCGCAGCTTACATTCACAATAGACTGCCTAACTCAATAACCAACAACACTACGCCGTACGAGTTATTTTTCAAGAGAAAACCTCAACTAGACCTGCTGAGATCCTTTGGAAGTGTTGCGTATGTTCACATTCATCAAGGACAGCGCCCTCCGGGAAAGCTGGAGGATTGAGCACAAAAGTGTGTCATGGTTGGCTATGTGGAAGGAGGAAAAGGCTGGATGTTTTATGACAAAAAATCAAAAACAGTCTTTCCGTCAGCAATTGCACAATTCCCTTATGAACAAGAATCATCGAGTCAAGAGGAGAACAATTCTTCAGAATCACTTAACAATTTGCCAAACCAACATCAACATGGAAAAGGAAGCTTAGCGCATATCATCAATGCACTTAAGATTGGTGACTTTTGAGAAGAAATGAAGATTGATAAACAAGACGTTGCTGCAAGTCATGCACTGATTGGAAGTGATTATCTCAGGATTTTGAATCCGCCAAGGTTGTTTGCTGAAGCTATGTGATTGGGTCAATCAACAAGCTGGAAAGAAGCGTGTGATGCGGAAATGGAGATTATGAAGAAGATGAAGTTTTGGAAGGTTGTGGATAAAACCGGCTAGTTTAGTACCAATTGATTTGAAATGGGTCTTTACTTATAAAACAGTTGATGAGAATGGTAATCCAATAAAATTCAAGGCAAGACTAGTTGCAAAAGGATATCAACAACAAGAAGGTGTTGATTACACAGAGACGTTCGCTCCCACAGCGACATTTCCAGGACTGAGGATCATGCTCACTGTAGCAGCGTACAAAGGCTGGCCAGTTCACTCATTTGATATAACATCAGCTTATCTTCACAGTGATATAGACACATTGATTTACTTCTCAATTCCTACCGGGTAAATGGTTGAAGCTCGGAAGAAAAATCAAGTCTCGGAAGCTATCAAGGCATTATACGGCACAAAACAAGGTGCTTGTTACTGGTGGGAGCACATCGACGCCATCCTGACATCCATGGGTTTCAAATACAGCCAGTACGATCAATCTCTGTACATCTACAGACAAGGAAGTGACATGTGCATCATTTGGTTACATAGTGACGACGGTGCAGTGACTGGTAGTTCTGATGATTTACTCAATGAAATTCCCGCTAAACTTGCTGAAAAATTACTTATTAAATGGGAGAAAGGATTGGACCAAATCATTGGTGTGGACGTCAAGAGACATCAAGATGGAAGTTTCAGCTTATCACAACCTGGCCTGACTAAGAAGATCATTCAATCCTTCTTACCCGACGAGTGCACCGCCAAGACACCTATGAATTCACAAAGATTACCTACGTCACCTGCCAAAGATGAAGAGAAAGTTGACCCTGAGAAATACCTGTCTGCAATAGGAAGCCTAAATTAGCTATCTGTGGCTACTAGACCTGACATCACCTACGCGATCAACTTTTTAGCCAGATTCTCATCAGACCCACGGAAACAACATTGGAACGCAGTTGAACACGTCATCAGGTACTTGAACACCAATGGTACTCATCAGTTACTTATCAAGCCACTCAAATCAAAAGTCAATATGCCAGTACACACATTTGTAGACGCTAACTGGGGAGGGGAAGGAGCTCAATCGTCACACGGTTTCATCACGTACTACTTGAACCGTCCGTTTGCCTGGACATCAAAACGACAAACCTGTGTTGCAACTTCCACCTGTCACGCCAAGTACATGGCGATGGGTACGGCTTGCAGAGACACTGTATGGCTAAGGAATCTAATCAAAGATATCACTGGTGAAGGAAATGTCATCAACATGCATTGTGATAATACTTCAGCCATTCATGTAGCTAGTGATAATTCCTCCAACAAGCGTACTTAACACACAGATAGAGAATATTACTAAATAAATGAACAAGTTTACAAAGGACGTGTATTTTTGCATTGGGTCAACACAAAATCACAACGTGCAGACATATCAACTAAACCTCTTGGTCCGCTTCTACATGACGTCGCGCTGAAATCCTTAAGACTTATAAAAAATTAATCTGACACTCAATCATTCATCTCAAAGATTAATTGAGTCAAACTTTCATTTATGTTTAGAAATATTGCTCGCAGACACTGGCCCTGGTTGAACTAATTCCGTAGCAAGGTATATCTAATTCCAGAACATCTGGGTGAAAAGAATGCTGAACTCGGGGGAACAAATTCCAGATAACAGTTGTCTTTTTTCTTTTTTTATGTTAATGGTTTTTTTGAAGGTTTTTTTTCGGACTGGTTAATACACTCATTTGAAGGAGTTTTCTATGTTTTTTTTGGAGGAGTTTATTTTGTGTTTATGTTTGGAAGAGTTTCTTATTTCTTGGAATTTTCTGTGTTTGATTGGAGGAGTTTCATGTTTTCAGTTTTTTGTTTTCTCATCTTGTACTCGTGTCAGGAAGGGCATACACGGCCATAGCAGTATATCTCCTACCTCACAAACAAACCTCATTACATATCAATAACTA